CAGATGATTTATGGGTCTCCTGAACAGAATTTGAATATCCAACTTTATGATCCGCATGAGGAAGGGAGAACTAAAACAGGATGTGTAAACCTGAAGTGAGAGGGTTTAGCTGTGAAGTCTCTCATGTCATATATCTCATACAGACAGTTCTGTCTTTATAGCTTTGGATATCCTGAAATCATTTCAGTTCTGTCCCGTAAACCCATGTCTCTATGGATGTCACCCACTCTGTGAGACGTGTCTAACACTGCTTCTGAAAACGGAAGTTCAGGGTTGTGAGGAAGGAGGCCTCATTTGGTTTGGTTCATCAGATTGATTAGATGTGTTTGGTTACGAACTGACACAAACAAACTGGGATTGGTTGCTTTTACTGTAATTTTCGTCCGGCAGTCTCATACTCTCTATGCAGTTCCTGGATAAAATAAGCAGCAGACTGGACCTGGCTTTATGCCGATTATCAAATATCTGGCTGTGTGAGAGGTTCCTAATTTAGTTTTGGAGGTCGGGTTTGTAAGCATCAAAGAAAAAAGAAAAGAAAAATATATATATATATTGCACATCATCACATTTTTCAATGATTCTCAAAGGATTCTCCGTAGATTCAGAGCTCTAAATCGTACTTGGTTACTAACGTAACCTCAGTTCTCTCTAGAAGAGGGAACGAGTACTGCGTAATATGTTACGCTAGGGGAAAACCTCTTTTTTTTGAGATATTGAAGGCAAAATTAATCCTTAATTTTGTATTAATGTAAAACACGTTGTTTTCCCCTAGCGCAAGATATTACGCAGTATGAGAGAACCTCTGGTAAGAGAACCCCATTTTCCACGAACTACTCTGCTCTGATTGGCCAGACGGTCCAATCTGTTCCGATTGGTCTACTGCTTACAGCGCCTGTGGGAATTCTGGGAAACAAAACTCTCATTACCATAACTGAATTTCATCACTTCATTTCAGAAGATGTACTAGTTATTCAACCCGAACCTCCATCGCAGGGATGACTGAGTAGGGAAAATCTCAGTCGTATATGTTTGCATACATTATGAGATGTAACTCCTCACCATCATCATTAGTGTATGTTCATAAATATTAGATTCAGTGGGAAACCAGTCTTGCGCTACAGGCTGCTTTAATTGCAACGCATTCTCACCCCAAGGCGTCACCTTTGACCATGCTTCAATATTTGACGTTTTAGGCGCCCTTTAGGGTCACTTACATGACGCGATCCTACGGCGTCATCTAACTGACGCTAAAGGAAAGCGTCAGTTAGAGGACGCGGTTAGGTTTAGGTATGGGGTGGGGGTAGGGTACACGCGATCCTAGGGCGTCATCTAACTGACGCTAAAGGGCGCCTAAAGCGTCAGATATTGAAGCATGTCCAAATGCTTCCCAAGGTGTCAGTTAGGTGACGCCTTGGGGGTGAGAATGGGCTGTTAATTGCCAGCAGCAAAATTTGGGATTATAGCTGTACTGATGTGGTCTCATTACAAAATTAATTTTAACTTTACAGAGTCATCATTTGGAAGTGAAAATAAAAGTGAACATAAAACAGATACTTTCACAGCGACAGTCTTCTTGACTTGACATGATGTTTATCATTACGACAAATCTAAAGTGTTTGAGGGTGGGTGGACAACCTGTAGCCGTATGACTTTGATTCTTTCTTTTGAAAGACAACTTTTTTTATTGTGCACTTTCGACTTTACAAATTTGCAGACTGTTTACATTCACAGATAGCTATATAGGCTATTTGCACGCATAAGTTCCACATTTGACGCAAGGATGCTCTTCAGTTTCCGGTTAGGGAGATTAAAGCGGAGGAAAACCGAGGAAAACGGGATTATTGCAAAGTCTTCAAAATTGACCGTCCTCCCGTCTTTGAAACGAAACTTTCATACGTTTAGATGAAATTTTATATATATAGAGTTATGTTTATTTAATACAATTTTAAAAGGAAGTCTATTTTTGTGACTAAGGTTTAACCATGGAGTATAAAATTCAATATAAATTCTCAGTATTGCATTGGACTCTACGATCGGTGGAAGTTATCGAGCATCCTTAGACCTTCACCGGAAATACCGCCGTGCATAGAGCCCATTACACACTGCAAGAAAGATAATATTCCAAAAAAACAATCCCAGCTAACAAAAATAAATTGTCAGAACGTTTGCGTTTTAACGATTTAAATTGAGGTGGGCTAACTCAATTTTGTTCATTTTAATTCTAAATATTAATTATTGAGTTGGGCTAACTTAATTTTGAGCAATTTAAATTTAGTTGGCTAACTCAATTTTGGTCATTTTGAATTCTAAATATTAATTATTGAGTTGGGCCAACTTAATTTAATTGAGTTCAGCCAACTTAATTTTGAACAATTTAAATTGAGTTGGGGTAATTCACTTTTGGTAATCTCGTTTTTTGTATTTTTGAAAAAAACGAAAAAAGAAAAAAAAAATGGTGCTGTTTTCTCGTTTCTGCTTATATCGTTTCAAATTGGAAAACAAACTATCAAAACGTACACGGACCGCCCAGCATGTTGGCTCTTGTTTCCAGTGCAGGGCAGCTGCACTGAAGTGTTTGTGCTTTTATGTGCGTTCTGTTATCCTTCCTTTCAAGCTGCTATGAAAAATAAAGTGAAAGTGAGTTTTATTTTCAGGTGCTGTATGTTCAATGTACTGTATCTCATCATCATAATAATGAGAGAGTGAATGCTGGTGGAGATGAAAGCCCATTTCCACCACATTAGAAAAAAAGAAATGCTTTGGTGAATCTGATCACCCTAATTATATTATTAAAAAGTCTAAATTATGACATAAAAAGTCATAATTATGACTTATTCTGCATAATAATCAAATTTAAGATAAAAATCCATTATCATTTACAAGTCGAAACAGACACAATTATGACAAATAGTCGAAATAAAGACAAAAGGTTGAAATCTAGATAAATAAAGAAATAAACATTAATTTAAGAGAAAATTATGAGATATTAGAATTGTCATAATTCTGACAATTGCTGCATAAAAATAATATTGCAAATATATCTCATATTTATGTGTAGCCTTTCCAATACTCCATGTGAAAGAACCCATTCTAAATAACCCATTATGGAACCCATTTGAAAGAACCCATTTGGAAAAAAACAGTTTGATAGGACCCATTTTAAAAGAACCTTTATTTTCTCTCTATCTGTATCTCTGCCTCTTTATGTCTGTTTTTCATATTATGGATGCTGCTTATAGCATGCTGTGTCTCTTGTTTCCATCACCGGACCATCTCACACCCCTCAGGAAGCAATTCGGCTCCATAACTGTGACCTCATTCCCTTAAATTACAGCTTTGTCCACTGGACCAGGTGCTCCAGAGGTGCATTTGACAGCCTCTCTTTCACAACCTCTGGGGCAGGTTTGTAAACAGATGACAGACCTCGCACAGCCGAAGAGTTGATGGAACTGTGAGAACTTGTTCATGTTCAGTGTAGTTTACTCACAGTTTATGGAACCACTGGGGGACTGATATTGAATATACCATGCAATGAAGTCCCACATAAGGTCAATAAACTGAAGTACAGCCGACAAAGCCTAAAAATTCACTCACCAATCGATAGATCAGTAGAACTCAACTGGTTTTGCTTCATGAACTAGATTTTGAACAACAGCATTGACCTAACACAATATCATCACAATACATTTCATAAAAAATACCAACAATAAAACCCTTTTTCTATATCTGTAAGACTGATTTGGAACAATGTGTCTTGTAAAAAGTTGTTACACAAAGGTATACAACAATCAGGATAAATATAAATGTAGTAAATATACATTGTATTTGGCTTACTATTATTGTTTTTTAGGCCTATATTACTATTTAAGTTTTATGTATTTCAATTTCAATTTTATTTTATTTCCATTTTGTAATTTTAGTGCTTCAACTTGAACCAATTTCAGTTGGTTGCCATGGCAACATTTCTAATTTTCATTTAGTCAGTTTTTCCATCTTATATTTATACACTCTAAAAATGCTGGGTTGTTTTGACCCAATTTTGGGTAAAATATGGACAAACCCAGCCATTGGGTTAAAAATTTGATTTAAAAATGTAACCCAATGGCTGGGTTTGCTCATATTTTACCCAAAATTGGGTTAAAACAGCCCAGCATTTTTAGAGTGCATTTTGTTTCAGCTTCCTTTTGTCATGTGCAGGCTTGAAAGCAACACTCTAAACAATGGTGGGTTATTCAACTCAAAGTTGGGTCAATCATGGACAAACCCAAATATTGTTTTAAAAATGTAATTAAAAAATGTACAGTTGAAAGTGAAAGTTGAAGTTGGGTTAAAATTTTAAATTACATTTTTAACCCAACATTTGGGTTTGTCCACATTTTACCCAATTTTGGGGTAAAACAACCCAGCATTGTTTAGAGTGAAGGACCAGAACTCAGGTAAAACTCAAACAGGTATAGTAGGTTTGTTTGCAGATATGGCAGTAACACAATGCATAAACACGATACTTGAGATCGTTAGCAGATGAGACTTGTATTGTTGACTTTAAGTCTTTGTCTTACAGAATCATCGGAGCACACACACACCAAGACAAGGGATTAATGGAAGATGATTGGAGATTGACTTGGATGAAGTAACTACAGTAGCTAGCAAGGTAATCAGAAACATGATAAATAGCAAGTAAAGTAGGCTGCAGCATCAGACAACACTAGAAACGGCTGATGGTGTGTGTGTGTGTGTGTTTGTGTGTGTTTATATACCATACAGACAATTGTATTATACTTAAAAACTGAATGCAGCAACTGACCTTACGTTTTTCAGTTGAAATAGGTGGAAATGTTTTACAGTGTTGTCATGTTAGTTTCCACAGAAGACCCTGTAAGTGTTTGAGGCCCATCCAGCCACTGGAGTCTACAGAAAGGACCTCTTGACAGCCATTGGTTAAGGACAGTCATGTGTGTGGGGTGGAGAGTGGCTCTGGACTTTCAGGAAGTCCTCATGGAATAGCTGCTGGTGCTCTGTAACAGAGAGAGAAAGAGAGAGTGGTAGCAAAGCCCGTCTACATTCTCCGGTGGTAGTGTGTGAGGAAGGGGGGCTGCTCACAGAGCTGGGAATGGATATGGCTAACCTTTTTAAACACTTCTTTCGTGAGTACATATTTATAATCTTTTCCACTAAAGTATATCACTTTTGCTCAACAAAGTTGTTGCCATTGCCCTACCTACACACTGTTGACAAATGAACTCAATATCTGAAGAAAGAACGATTTCTGCGAGTTTCTTCATACTTGATCTGATTTTGAAGTTATAAACTTGTGTTGTCAGTCCTTTGTAACTGTCGTTGTGTTTGTCTTGCCTTTTTTGAGGGTAAAGATCAGCTGAAAGTGGGCTGATAAAGCTTTCAAAGACTGTTATTGTTCAGTTTGTGATTATGTAGAATGTGTTTCTCTTTAAAAAATTTATTAGGAGTTTAATGCTTAATGACATTTTGGTTCGTGTGTCCTTTGGTTGTAACCTAGATGAGTCACTCATATAATGTTATATGCACAACTGCAAGTTCATTGACTTACATTTTACAGGGCAGTTAGGCTACACTCAGGTGCTTCAAATACTTTCTTTTTTTCTATAAAATTTGCCATAAGAGAGGGAGGAAATAGCAGTAAGCTCTTCAGGGTAGCTTGGACAGTCTTAAAAACAAAAATCAAAGCAGAAACCCATGCAGGCCCCCTCCACCTCCTCTACTGTCAACTTGAGCTGCTCTGTGAAGGCGGCCGGAAGCTGTCTAATTCAACGCAGATTTCTAGTGCAGGAAAACAGAAGGATGTGAGGCAATGAATAATTGAGGCCTTTGACTCTGGGATTTTTTTCTCTCTCATTACGTTCTTCTTCCCCTTTGTAACACATTCAGCGTTTCAGTGTTTTAATCCCCGCATTACAGTGGACAAGACAGTGGGGTGTCGTGACTTGGCAGAGTGAAGCAACAAAAGAACAGTAGCGACAGGACCGAACACTTCAACAAATGAGACTCCTTATTTGCGTTTCTCTTTTTTTTTGCACTTGTTTTATTTGCTCACTTTTGAATAGCCGGACTTTTCGGGAAGATTCGTGAGAGGAGGGAAAAAACTGATGGCCTCCTGCCAGCTCTCTTTCTTGCTCTCTGTGTCTGCCTCTCTTTCTCTCTCTGTGCATTAGTATGCCATGGAAGTTCAGAGAGGCTATTGTATACCAAACAGAGGCGTGACCGATTCCTGCACAAAAGGAAAATGTCTCAAGTGTTATTTGTGTAATTTTGCATTCAAAAGTCTGTCGCGGAAAATTAGCCACAAAGCAAAATATATTGTCGGTTGAAATGAGAAAGAAAAGGACAGAGCAGCTGTGAGGTCAAAAGTGAACAGAAACACATGCTGAAGTTCATCACGGGTTTATATTTGTGTGGATGCGCGTATTGCGTCATCTGAGAATTAACGGCGCTACCTTTGCTGACAGTTCTTGGACGCTACATCTGTTTGTGAAGAGGCTATCTGTCTTATGATGTCATTAGTGGAGCGAGTTCAGCCCGAACAGAAACAAAGGCAGTGTGATTTGGCTGCTTTCGCTCGGTTCCTGTCGTGGATATGAGAAAGCAGCTTGCCACGGGTCACGTTACATTGATAATCATGCTCAGCTTTTTCAAAAACCTGGGCTGAATGCAAAATTAGGTCAATTCAAGATGTTCAGTTGTGTTTCATGGGGAAAATGATGAAATTGCACAAACTCGTATACAAACTCATTAGCCGTTACAAACCCTATGTACATTGCATCTTTGTTCAGCTTTTGGGTTGAACTCTGAAGAACTTATGACAGTCTCAATTATGTTTTAATACAGTATCTGTGATGCCAAGGTTTTAACTTTAGGAGGAATTCTGCCTTATCTCTGCTTTTGAATGTTTTCCCGCATGTGGAAAACTGGGAAATTGACTGGAAAGCTGGGCTGTCGGTGGAAATGAAGTAAAAGCAGACAGGACACAGTGCCTCAAGTTCCATCCTTGAGTCACGTCATAAAGACCGTAATGCTTTCATTGCTGTGGCCTGGAATTTCCATTGAAAAAAAATTTCAACTTTATTGGCTTTTCCACACATCCGCATGATGGTTTTACTTCTCAAAATGGTTGCATCACATTGATCATGATAGTGGTTTATCACTGACAACTTGCTTCCCTTCGATTTTATGTCTGTGACTTTTATGTTTCCATGGTTATTTTTGGAATACAACTACTGTTACCGATGAGTTTGGAAAGTTTGATTTTGATGGAGCAGATGAGCTCTGTAATTCCACACATATGAATGAGTTAACTGGATCACGAGGCTGTTACATTTCAACACTCTGCCCTATTTTTTTGTTCTGGTATTTTTTTTACAGGAAACACTTATCACTCTTTTGCTTGTTCTTCCTGTTGATGTTCATGGATGGGCTACAATTAGATTTCCTTTTCATTTGGAGGAGACATATTTAGGTTTAGCCATATTTTGGTCATTCCAATAAGTTTACAACTCCCATGAACGGATCTTCTTAGTAAATAATAGATCTTTTATTAAAAGTTGATGATTGAGTCTATAGTAAGGAGATAATTTGTGTTGTTTACATTACTGTAAAAAAAAAAAAAATCCATTTACATACACCACCAATAAGTTTGGGATCATTATGACAAATTTAAATGTAAAAATTTGATGTATTTTTTTTTTTTTATTAAAATGTATTTTTAAAACATGTAAAAAGAATTTAAAATGTAGCCTATACATTAATCATTTTTGAAAAAAATTAAGTTGTATACATATATAATTTTACGGACACTCAACTTTTCTTATTATTAGCACAGTTGAAAATGATTGTGCTACAATGCGTAAACTACAATTTCCTTAGTTTCTGTAGGGGTTATGGTGCGTTCACGTGATATGGAAAATATAGGCCTACGATATTTTCCACATATGAACTGGTATTTACCAATGTGTTGCATTTAAGTGCTTTTGTTGTCATATTGTGGTAAAAAGATGGAAATCCAGACCTGATATTCAGCTAAAACTGTTTTAGATTGCGTAAAGAAAAATGCAGTTTTGAAAAAACTTTTGCTGATAATTTACTCACCCCCATGTCATCCAAGATGTCCATGTCTTTCTTTCTTCAGTCGAAAAGAAATTAAGGTTTTTGATGAAAACATTTCAGTGGGAACCACACTTCAGTGGGAACCAAACGGTTCAAGGTCCAAAAGACACTGTCTTTCTGTACAAACTGCAAACTGTTCAAAGGGCTTTAAACTTTTCCAGACGATGAATAAGGGTCTTAACGAGCGAAACGATCACTCATTTAAGAAATAAACAACAAAGTTTAAATTTTAAGCTCAAATGCTCGCCTTGCTATGTACTGTGATGCACGTTCGTCGCGACTCTCCTGTTCGAACTCGTCCATCAAAATGAACAAATCTTTTTTTCCGAGTCAATTCGTTCGTTTCATTCGTTGAATGAACAAAATGACTCGGGAAAAGATGTGTTCATTTTGATGAACGAGTTTTGACAACGACACATGCATGTTGCGATGAGGCAGAAGACTTTGTTGTGTGAGTATTAAATGACAGAATTTTCATTTTGTGGTGAACTCTTTAAGGACACTCATATTTTTGAAGTCCAAGCAATTTTAGTTTTTTAAACAACATGAAAAGAAATCACAATTTCTCTAGAAACTCTTAAACTCAGCCTATTGTTCTTCTCTCTTGAAAGAAGAATGAGAGCAAACTGGTTCCAACCAGACAGAAAAGTGGACAGCCCTGCTGCACAACAAGATGAGAAGTAGTACATCAGAGTCTGAAAAGATTGAGAAACCTCTCACTGGTGCTTCATTGAAAAGTGCATGTCAAATATCAGTTTCATCAGCAACAGTGAAGAAGAGAAGCCTCTGGGAAGCTGCTGGCCTTTAGGCAGAGTTTCGCAGATAAAGTTTAATCTGAAACTTAAATAAATAAATAAGAAGGTGTGCTGTTGGGAGCAATTCGATTGCAAGGCCAGTGAGAAATGCTCTAAAAAAGCTTATGGGAGCACCTGTGGGAAGCGCTGCAGAAAGCAGATAAACTTCAGCTGAATGTGTTCATTTAATTTAATTTATCCTTGGTGATCAAGTATCAATTGCTTGACAAACATAAACAAACAGCAATTTTGGACTTTTATTACGGTTGTGTAAAAAAAAAAATTGTTGCTGCAGAGTGCAGAGTTCTGTGGCATTTATCTATATTTTCATCCAATATTTCTATATTTTCAGCTTCGGGATTAATTTGGTATTGAAACTAGAAAAAAAAGTCTTGTTTTTATCTATGTGGCACATTATAAAGATAAATAATATCAGTTTGCAATGGTAAGATACCAATAGTATCATTAGTTAAGTTTCATAATAGCACATTTTTCAAAAAAATGCATGGCTCATATTAACATTTTCTGTGACTGCAGGGATTGGGAAGGTGAAGCAGAAAGGCTGTGTGCGAGATTTGCCCTCCAGCTCAGAGAAATATGAGGGCGATGAGCGACTGTATGACCTCAACCTGCCCGCGCTGGTGAAGTTCAACTACACCGCGGAGCGGGAGGACGAGCTCTCTTTGGTGAAGGGCACAAGGGTCATCGTCACGGAGAAGTGCAGCGACGGTTGGTGGCGAGGAACCTATAATGGCCTTTCTGGGTGGTTTCCCTCCAATTATGTCACAGAGGATGTGGACAGGACAATGAGGGACGATTCCATGAGCTCTCTCAAAGATAAATTGGCCTCAGTGGGGCACAATAACAACGGCTCTCAGGTTCTGCAGACTGTACAGGCACTTTATCATTTCAGCTCCGGCAATGTCGAAGAGCTGAATTTCAACAAGGATGAACTTATGGACGTGTTAGAGAAACCTGAGAATGACCCTGAATGGTGGAAGTGTAAAAAAGAAAATGGGCAGGTGGGTTTAGTGCCCAAGAACTATGTTACAGTTGTACAGAAAACACACAAAGAACTGGGGAATTCAGGACCTACTTCAATCTATGACATTAAGCCCTCTATGGATGGAAGGTTTGGAGGAAAACAATGGTACTATGGCAAACTGACACGGCACCAGGCTGAGATGGTCTTGAACCAGAGGGGCGCGGATGGTGACTTCCTCATCAGAGACAGCGAGTCTACGGTAATTGAATTCAATTGAAACTGTCCAAACACCAATTTTTGTTTTATAGAATTATTAGAAATATATATTTTTTTCCTAATTTATATATTACCAGCCTCAAGTAGTAGAAATGGAATTTTGCATATTTATTTACTTTTTTTATTTAGTGTGTTCCTGAACAAACATTTCATTTTTTACTTTCCAGCCAAACGACTTCTCTATCTCTCTGAAGGCGGTGTACAAGAACAAACACTTCAAGGTGCAGCTAAAAGATGGACTGTACTGCATTGGTCAGCGCAAGTTCAGCTCCATTGAGGATTTGGTGGAACATTACAAAAAGGCCCCCATTTTTACCAGCGAGCAGGGAGATAAACTGTACCTGGTTAAAGCATTAAACTGAGCCTACACAAGAGCAACATCTAAATCTGTCATCCATCAGCACCAACAATAAACTATTGACTGTGCATTGGGGAAGTGTGAAAACTTCTTTGGTTAAATGTGCTAAATGTTAGTGTATTTACAATTACAAGTACATTCAGTATGTGTTTGCTTTAGCATTGCTCCAATTTGGGATATTCAGCTACTTTAAATGCAAACTCCAGTTAATGTCAGATAAGCTATCTTTGTACTGTTATTCCACCGCAATAGTCCAACATCACTTCACTTCATCTTTGTACGTACTTGCATAGGCTTCTTGTGATTATTCAAGACACTTAAAAAGTGGAGAATGAATGAAATGTCACTGCAATCAGGTTTTTTCCTTTACATTTAATTTGTTTAATTTAATATCAAGAGCTAGAGGACAGTGAGAGAATGGACACAGTAACTTTAAACCACATGTGTGATAGCATTTTTACCTGATTGCTACATTTTTGTTTGCAGCATTGATTTCATGAATTCTCACGATATGTTGTTCATTTGCCTGTGCCAATCTTTCTCTTCAATCTACATTGGGTTTTTACAGAGGACTATATTTACATTTCCATAGTCCCATCCTATCAAAAGTTAACGCCCCCCCCCCCTCCTCCTCCTCCTCCTCATTTTTTACTACTAATTTGTAATTTGTAAAAAAAAAAAATTGTAAACTGTGAATGATGCATCCTTCCATATTGAAATTTATATTTCTTTTACTTATCATTTCTTGACTTGATAAGTGTAGCATTTAAAAATAAAGCATACAATTTTCGCCTTTTTATTTTATGCATTCAGTAATTTCATAAAAAAATGTGCATACAATAAAGGCCTACATATTAAGAGGTGTATACAAAAACACATGCAACAAAGTCTGTTACTTTTCCAGAGTAACCACAGTAAGAAAAATAAGTTATTCTTTCTGGCTCATGCAAGATAAAATCATTTCGAATCTTTTTTTTTTTTTACAATTTTATTTTGTTTGATTAAAACACATAAAGCATTTTCTGTGTGTTTTTTTTTTTTTAGAATTCAATTTACACAGTCATCACAATCCATAAACAAAAATTATACATCAAATAAATACAAATAACATAATATGAATTAAAAATATGGAATTAATCAAATTAATAAAAAAAAAACGCCTAAACATAAAAGATTTGTAGTGACGACTTTTGGTTGTCTTTGCTGGTTGGTTCATGTGACAGTGACGTAAAGTCTGACTCTGGCGCCGGAAATAAGGGTACAGTTTCAAAACACTCGCGCCACTGACAGGACAGGCGTCATTGTAGTCAACAAATTACGAGTGAACTACAATAAACCACTATAAGTACTCCAAAATTAATCGCTTATGTAGAATTTGGATGAATTTATATACAACATTCCTTTATCGTACTGGAGTCTTGATCGGGAGGTAAGTGTGGCCTCAGGCTGCAGCTAACAGTTTAACTTAATCCACTAGAGCGCGTTCGCTTGTTATGAACAATTCATTCTAGTTGGATGAATCAGTTTATGTTTTATATCACTATAAAGTGTCATTATATGCAATTAAATGTATTTACTTTTGCTTTATTATACATTCGAATGGCACTCTGGTTAGGACCTGACTGAGTGACGTTTCGTGTTTATGTTACGATCGCAGACATGCAGTCATCTAACAAATCAACAAGTGGCCAAACTGCTGATGACCCTCACAACCCCTCGACCAGCACTTCGTCGCGATACGGTGAAAAACAGCAGATGTCAAATACATTTGTGAAATGAATATGATTAATAATGGTCCCTAGCAAACTATAGTTTAAACCAAAACCTATTATATATCCTCCGAATGTGTTGAATCAAATGTTGTCACGTCTAATATTAATTATGATGCGTGTCATCCAACACCAGCTTTGATAGATTTCATGGATGTCGGCGGCACAGTGACCATATCCCAAGAAATTGCTGATCTAACAGAAGATAGAGGGCAGGAGCTGGAGGCAGAGGAGAGTGTTCAGATCGGATCAATTCAAGGCTCAGTTGTTGGTCTGCGTTACTACACTGGAACGGTAGGGATCTTCATGTATGTGTGTTTAATGTGTATATATATATACATACATGCATGTGAGTATGTGCGCATACATAAGGTTTCTAAGTGCATTGTTACATGACCGTATTACACATTTTAAAGGTACATTATGTAAGAAGTTTGTATCAAAATATCTAAAAACCACTTGCACGATGTTATATATTTCTTTCAATTGAGTACTTACATTTTACACACTGCTGTATTTATTTATTTGAGTCGCGTTGCTGTTTAATATTAACATAACATACAAGAGTACAGTATTATTTACTGCAGTACAACATAGTTTTATATCTTCGCCATGAACTGTATTTTCCCGCCATCTGTACCCGCTTAATTTCTCTGACGCCCTTATCACCTGACAAGAATAGGTAATCTCACACCTGTTCCACCCCACAGTGTGTATTGCCCTCTAGTGGTTTTATTTTTCAAAACACAGAATAATGATATAATGGCTCATTCAATCTCGTTTAATAACAGGAATATTATGTGATTGTGACATATGCTGTAGGTCAATAAAGGAGAGATGGTGTCTTTGGTGAGAGAGCCGCAGAATCCCTATGACCGAAATGCAGTGATGGTTGCCAATGTGTATGGCAGTCAGGTGGGGCACATCAAGAAAGAGCTGGCAGCCCCAATGGCCTACATTATGGACAACAACTTGGCAAGGGTGGAAGGGTACTGTAGTTTCTTCTTTTCTAAAAAGTAATTTGTATTAAGTATACAACTGATCTTTTTTGTGTCTGATTTCTTAATAGGGTTGTGCCCTTTGGGAAAACTAATACATACACAATGCCTGTGAACCTCACGTTCTGGGGCAAAGAGGAGCAGCGCGAGGCTGTACATAATCAGATGAGACGCTATGGTTTCAGACTTGGCTCTGACTTGAAAGGTTTTTTTTTTTTTTTGTTATTTATTCCCGACTGACAGTGTATGCATGCCATTATTTAACTTAATGTTCTTTGGTGAATACATAATACTTATATGATTGACATTATTTTATTCTCTTAGGAGGTGCTGCCCAAACATCTTTGGGTCCAAGAGATCCGCTTGGATTGTCCTCAAAAATATCTGCCATTCCTTTGACTGTAGAGGAGGTAAATTTTATCAAGTCACCATTATTTCTTTAGCGCTTTTTACAATACAGTTTGTTTCCAAGCAGCTTTACAGTGATAACAGGGCGTTTGTTTCAGCTGTACAGCAGCTCTAGAAGAAAATAGTGCCATTGTCCAGCTTAAGTAAGTTTAGTGTTGGTTATTTTCTGTTGTAAATATCATTAATTATTAATTTAGCTCATTTATCTATACAGCCACTCTAGATAAAACAGTGATGTAATCGTCCAGCTCAGTTCAGTTATCATACAATGGTGTCTTACAAAGTTATCATACAATGGTACAATGGTGTCAATGCAGGCAGATTAATAATAATGTTGAATATTAAGTGTCTGTTTTACAGATTTTGGCTATAAGAATGTCAAAATAAGTGATTGGTATTTGCCTAGTATGCTTTACTATCAGTGCTTTTGTGTTTTTTCTGTTGTTTTCATCAAACAGTACAAACAAAAATGTCTGTAGAATCAAAGATGAAAAAATATTAGTAATAAAAATGAGAAAAAATAAAAAAATAAATAAATTACAAATAACCGTAATTATTCTTGTTGCAAGTTATTTAATGTAGTTTTTCAATGCATAATTTAGTTTTATCAGGTGCACACCTATTTATGCCATAATATGGTAAGTTTTTAAGTCTTTCCTTTTAATAGGCAATCATTTTATTTATTTTTCTGTTTTAGCCATACCCTTATGGATGGTTAGTTACATTTAGTATTCATTTAGCATTATTTATTATTAATTTAGCATGCCGTTTATGACCGAACAGTGCAGCAACACACCAGTTGAGAACCACCAGTCTGCTTTTTGTTTAACTTCAATGAAATGGCTAATCATTTTATTTTTGTTACATCATATCAGCTGAAAAATGCCTTTGACAAGCTCTTTGATGATTTGATGGAGGATAAAACCAGAGAAATGGAGCCAGCAGAGGTGAGCGCAGACAGAAAGAACACAGCTGTTTTACTGTCAATCATTCATCAGTCACTTACTGATGTCTCTGTTAATGTCTGTCCGTACAGGCAGTGTTCACTCCTCTACTCCCACATCAAAAGCAAGCGCTCTCATGGATGACCTCTCGTGAAAACAGCAACGATCTGCCTCCGTTCTGGGAGGAGAAGAATGGCCTTTACTTTAACGTTCTCACTAACTTTGCTGTGAAGGAAAGGCCTGAGAAAGTGCTTGGTGGGATTTTGGCTGATGACATGGGGCTGGTGAGATAATCTTAGACCTCTTCTTTAAGTGCTTAATATAACGCCTACTAGTGCTCAGAATTTTTATGCTGTGTTTCAGGGCAAAACCCTCACCACCATTGCCTTGATAGTCTCAAATTTTCACAATGGGAAACCCCTGCCACTGGAACAACGTGTAAGATGCAGATGAAAAATTATTTAACAAATAAAGCATGTGTGTGTAAATGAAGTTGAATTTAACTGATTACTGTGACCTTGCATGTATTGCCGCCAGAATTTAATCATGAACATTTTAACTTTCAGGAAGGACCATCTTCTTCTACTACCAGAAAGAAAGCAGCCTCAAAAGGTAAAAAAAATGTCACATATGTTTTTAAAACAAATTTGTAAAATTGTAATCCAGTCTGAAGTGAAGAAGTTACATTTGTAGTAGAATACTGACACACAAATGTTATATATGTATTATATTTTTAGAGAAAAGTGGAGACCCTAAAGAGCCTGGGGAACCAGTGGGGTTGTCTCCATTGAAAAGACAGCATGCTATCAGTGCCACTGCTGACACCATTGATGAAGATGCACCTCAGAAGAAAGGTTAGTTTCTCTTAAGTCTTGATGCAATGTACAAATGTCTGTGAGATTTTTAAAAAAAAGTCTCTTATGCTCACCACGGATCCATTTATTTGATTGGAAATATTGTGAAAGATTACTACAATTTAAAATTTTAAATATAATTTAAAATGTAATTTTATTTCTGTGATCGCAAAGCTGTCCACTCCAGTCTTCAGTGTCACATGATGAACGAAATCATTCTAATATGGTGCTCAAATAACATATAACTATTATTATTATTATCAATGTTGAAACAGTTGTGCTGCTGTCATGATCTTTTTTTCTTCTGGATTCTTTGATTATAAAGAACTGTATTTGTTTTGAGTCTTTGTCAATTGAATGCAGCCATCTTTGCTTCATTTTTTCAAAAAAAGAAAGTGTGTCATTAAAAGTAAATGTTAAAAATAATCATTGATTATTATTATACACTTTTGTGTTTCTTATAGCAAAAACCACTAAGAAAACTGCTAAAAAGTCTGCCAACACCAAGAAAGGTACGCTTACTTCCTGTCCTTTTTTTTCATGTAAACTGAAAGGCAGATTTGTAATATATATTTTCAGTGTCAACAGACATTGTTCTCACTCTTTCATACACAGGAGCGGTTCTGCTAGATGATGTGGACTTCGCTGCCGCTCTGGAGTGCACTTCCTCACAGGCTGTGCCAGCAAAAAAAAGTGCGAAGAAGAGTTCTGGTGGGTGTAACATTAATGATAATTTCTTTCGTTTGTTTATTATGGTTGTTTATTATGAGAGAGTTTTACAGGAATCTATCTGCTTTGTGCGTGTTGTAGGGACTGGTAAGGGCCCATCTGGAGCCGGTGGGGGGTCAGGGGCCAGAGCCACTTTGATTTTATGTCCCCTGTCTGTCCTTAGCAATTGGCTGGTGAGTGTTGAAAATCATTTTATTTATGAAAAATTAAGAAAATCTTAAACTCGCATTGCTTTCATTTGTGCTTCATATGCGTGCAGGACCAGTTTGAGCAACATATTCGAGCTGATGTCACACTAAACGTGTACCTGTACTACGGTCCTGAGCGCAGCCGATCCGTCAGCCTTCTGTCTGGGCAAGATGTGGTTCTCACAACATATAATGTGCTTTCATCAGATTTTGGGGTGGGTGGATTTAAAACACAGTCCTGCTGTTTTTTTCTGCATAGATATTGTCATTACATGACGCTGCTGAGCCAGGCTGGAGTCACTAAGTTAGATAGTATTTACATTGTGTAATTAGTGTAAAGAAAATATTTTTATTGTGTGAAACAGTAGTTAGATACTAAGTGTAAGTAGAGTCAGATGCTATTTACACCTCAGTATTATATTGTAGAACATTATAAAATGGTATTCAGTAATATCATATTCAGTTTATATTTATTAAAACCATTATATCATTCCAAATTTGATCTGCTCCTCAGAAAAAGTGTCCTTTAAGTTCTAGAAAGGGAGTTATGGTAACAATATGGGCCTACTATAGTGATATTTAACCAAAGACTGGCGCATATGGGGCTATTTTTGATCTGTTCAAAGTACTTGTTGATTCTTTTAAACTTTTAATTTTTATTTCAATGTTCCATGGTTGAAGGGCGAGTCGATTAATGTCATCTCATTGCGACACTTTTTTAACGTATAGCGTTCATAGAGCGAGCCTTTCACTGATTGTTTACCGCTTAACGGAAGTTACACACATAATTCGCGCAAAGCGTCATGGGACGTAGGAATAAGGTGGATAAGCCTATTAAATACATGTTATTAAATACACATTATTTCTACCATTAAATACAAATTAGGGACTTTATTTCCACTTTTTGAATATATATATATATATATATATAACAACACTGTCTCAGTTACTGGCTTCATTTCCTTTGTAATTTTGTGTGGCTAAACTAGACACTAGTTAGTGGAATTAGTGTATAGCCTCTGTCATCAAGACTGTTGTAAGTACACACTCTAAAAACTATGGACAAATGGTGAAATAAAAAATGAACTTTGACCCTACCTGCAGAATAAAGCCAGCAGTCCTCTGCACAAAGTGAATTGGTTGAGGGTGGTGCTGGATGAAGGTCATGTCATCAGAAACCCTAGTGCTCTTCAAAGCAAAGCTGTGCTAGGGCTCCAGTCAGAGCGCAGGTGGATCCTGTCTGGTGCGTTCATTTGCGTTACCTAATCACCTGTGAATAACATCAAAAGGAAGTTGACGTCAATCATGCGTATTTTTACCTTCAGGAACTCCCATTCAGAACTCCCTGAAGGATCTGTACATGCTACTGTCCTTTTTGAAGCTGAAGCCTTTTGACGTGAAGGAGTGGTGGAACAGAATCATTCAGAGACCCGTGACCATGGGCGACAGATTTGGACTAAAGTATGTTAATAGCTGCGTCCCAAATCACACTTTCAGTGCATCGAATTGAATAAACTTCACTATCATATAACTGTTATCAGGAACTTGCAAGCGCTGGTGAAGGGCATCACATTGAGGCGCACCAAGAACAGTAAAGTGGCTGGGCACCCGCTGGTGCAGTTACCCGCACGGAGAGTGTTTGTGCAGCATGTGACTCTCTCTGAGGAGGAGAGGGAGGAGTATGAACAGGTCAAGAGGGAGGGCAAGAACATCGTTGGCAGGTGGGCACACGTTTGCTACAGATTTGAAGAGCATCAATATTACATAAAAGTTTTAAGTCAGAAAACAAACCGTTTGTCTTTACAGGTATTTCCAAGAAGGAACGGTCATGACGAACTATGCTGACGTGCTGGCCATCCTGGTCCGTCTGAGGCAGTGCTGCTGTCACCCCAGTCTTGTGGGCAAATACACAGTGGCAGGTATAAATGAGAGTTTTGTCAGTTGCTGATTACTTTCAATTAAATATTATTAAATTCAAATAAATTAAAAAAAAAAAAAAAATTAAACATACCTTACATTAAATTTCATTTAAAGGAGTAATTCACTTTTGAAAAAACTTTAACTGATAATTTACTCACCCCCATGTCATCCAAGATGTCCATGTCTTCCTTTCTTCAGTCGAAAAGAAATAAAGGTTTTGATGAAAACATTCCAGCATTTTTCTCCATATAATGCACTTCACTGGTAACCAAACGGTTCAAGGTCCAAAAGACACTTTCAGTACAAACTGCATCAACTTTTGCTGATAATTTACTCACCCCATGTCATCCAAGATGTCCATGTCTTTCTTACTTCAGTCGAAAAGAAATTAAGATTTTTGATGAACGGTTCAAGGTCCAAAAGACACTTTCTGAACAAACTGCAAACTGTTAAAAGGGCTTTAAACGATTCCAGACGATGAATAAGGGTCTTATCAAGCGAAACCATCGCTCATTTAAAAAAAACAAAAAAAAAAGTTGAAGATTTATAAGCTCAAATGGCCGCCTTGCTCTGTACTGTGATGCACGTTCGTGACTAGTTCATCAAAATGAACAAATCCGTTCCCGAGTCAATTCGTTCATTGAATGAACCAAATTACTCAGAAAAAGATTCGTTCATTTTGATGAACGAGTTCGAACAGGAGAGTTACAAACGTGCGTCATAGAACAGAGCAAGGCGAGCATTTGAGCTTATAAAACTTAAACTTTGTTATTTATTTATGAACCGTTCATCAAAAATCTTGAACCGTTCATCAAAAATCTTATCGACTGAAGTAAGAAAGACATGGACATCTTGGATGACATGGGGGTGAGTAAATTATCAGCAAAAGTTTTTTTCAAACGTCTTTTTAAAGCTTTAACAGCACCCTAATCTGTCTTTCGGGGAACATGTGTTAGGTGATCTTGGGAGCCCCGTTGAGCTGCGGGAGCGTCTCATCAATAAGATCACATTGGTGCTGAACTCTGGCTCGGACGAAGAATGCGCCATCTGTCTAGACTCCCTGCGTCAGCCTGTCATCACCTACTGCGCTCATGTGTTCTGCAGGCCCTGCATCTGTGAGGTCATCCGCTCAGAGAAGGTCAGCATTACTTCAGCATCTCAAAGGTTTGCTGAAGACTCCTTTATTGGATGTTGTTTCTGTATATTGATTGTTCCTGTCTCTCAGGAACAGGCCAAATGTCCCCTGTGTCGTGCTCAGATCAAGACTAAAGAACTCGTGGAGTACCCCGGAGAGGAAGTAGAGGCTCGATCAGCAACTGAGGAGAATTGGCAATCAAGTTCCAAAGTAACCTTGCCATTTATGCATCTGATGGGAAATTCAGCTTTGCCATCACAGGAATAAATTAAATTTTACTACATATTCAATTAGAAAACAGTTCACAATATTACAAAGTGAGCATAACACTTATTTTAAAAACATAAAATACCCATCCCCATCCCAAACTTTTGAACAGTAGTGTAATAATTTCATAAAGATTCAGTGGAGAAACAATTAGCTTTTTTTAGTTAAATATAAAATAAATAAATGCTTCAGGGCTTCCATAGTGCTCAGTAAGATGACAAAGCGATTAAATGGTATTTTGTGTTGCTCATTATGAGCAACATGTTTCAATAAAGTGCTCTTTTCTTTATGCAGGTTGATGCTTTGATGAGCAACCTCTTGAAGCTTCGCAATGAAGACCCTACTGTGAAGAGTCTTGTGGTCTCTCAGTTTACCAGGTTTCTGGATGTTATAGAGCGTCCCTTGAGGTACAGTTTTCATCCCTGAGGCTTCTGAAAACTAGACTGTACTACATACTGAATAAAATAAGTAGCCATTAGTGGTTTAGTGTGCTGACGTTGCTGCTGTCTACAGAGAATATGGATTCTCTTTCACTCGCCTGGATGGCTCAATGAATCAGAAGACCCGAGCAAAGGCCATTCAGGACTTTCAAGACTCCTCTCCAGGAAGCCCCACCATCATGTTACTGTCACTCAAAGCTGGAGGAGTTGGGCTTAATCTAACTGCTGCTTCCCAAGTGTTTCTGATGGATCCTGTGAGTTGAAATCCCTAGGATAGTGCCAGCCACTAGGTGGCAGTGATGTCATGATTTGATTCTGTGTCAATGCATCTATAATGGGGAATGAATAGAGGTTCACAGTCTTCACACACTCAAAGAGCTCATTTGTTTGTCTTATTCTGCTGTTTGTTCAGGCCTGGAATCCTGCAGCAGAAGATCAGTGTGTTGACAGATGTCACAGATTGGGCCAGAGTAGAGATGTGGTGGTCACTAAGGTACAGTCTTTGATTTATGCCTTGGCAAGCACGACTGACATTTTTCTCAGTGGTAACTGACAGTGCCGACAAATGCAACAACATGATGTTAATGGATTCCTTATTAGCTCATAACTTTGAGGCTAACAATAAGGGCCCCAGATTGACTACAATGGTCACAATTTTGGTAAAAAAAATTTTTTTTTAAAACAATCAAAATTTAAAAAAAACTAGTTTTACATTTGGAGAAGATTGTTACATCTTTGGATTGTGATGTTTCCTGAACAAAGGGGTCACACTAACATGAAAATTTCTCACCCACTCCAAGCCATATGACAGACTGACTTTCTTCTGCAGAACACAAAAGATGATGTTTTGAAGAATGTTGGTAACCAAACAGTTTTGCAGACCATTGACTTCCATGGTATAGATCAGTGGTTCTCAATCTTATACGGTAGGGGGCGGTAAAACTCCTAAGCGGTGAGCAGCCAGTAACAAGAAGTAGACGAATGAGAACGTCCTCGTCTCAGTTCTCGCGCATGCGCCCATAAGGAAGTAATGGAATAGTGGAATAAAGTCGTTATTTATGTTTTTTTCGCACAAAAAGTAGTCTCGTCGATTGATAAACTTATAATTGAGCCGCTGTAGGCACATGGAATATTTAAACCTTTTCTTTAATGACTTTATGGGCCGTCAAGAGCCAGTCCCTTAGGCAGTCTATCTAGGACTGATCTAGCTCTCAGATTCAATCAAAAATATCTTTATTTGTGTTCCGAAGATGAACGAAGGTCTTACGGGGTTGGAACAGCATGGGGGTGAGTAATTAATGACTTAATTTTCATTTTTGGGTGAACTAACCCTTTAAGCATGTTATTTTTTTTGTAGCAGATACTAATAGACACAGTGAGCAGTGAAGCTTGATTAGACTCTTGAACCGGTTCCTTAACAAATCACTAAAAGATTTCCAAACGTTTCTCAAGCAAGTTAGTTGATTGAATCAGACTACATTCTCAATTGATTATTTCGTTAATGACATTGAACAGTTATTTTTCAGTTATAACAGATTTAAAATGAACCAGGCTGGTTTTACCTCTCCGCCAGAGTTATACAGTTGAGTTTTAACGTTTTCAGATGTATTCCGCCGATTTTCTGATATTTAGAAGAATATCAGTAACCAGACCATTTCTGGTCTTATTGACTTCCATAGTATATATTTTTTCCTACTATGGAAGTCAATGAGACCAGAAACTGTCTGGTTACTGATATTCTTCTAAATATCAGAAAATCGGCTGAATCGATTCGAAAAGGGTAAAACTCAACTGTTTAACTTTGGGGGAGTTGTAAAATGAGCCTATTTCCAAAAAAAAGTGGAGTATCCCTTTAAATAATTGACTGATATTCATTGGTTTGTAATATGACAGTAAGTATAATCCACATTCACAACAAAGGTCTGTTGTAATAAAAAAAGTATTGTCTAGAATTCTGAGGCCAAATTGTACGTTTGGATTGACTGTAAAGCCGAGTGATATTTAGAAAATAATCTTCATTTCTCTTTCAGACACGAATAAAGAGTGACATTTACTTGGTACATTAGGACTGTCAACTGGACATTAATTGGACTATTAGACTGACAGTATAAAATTAAAACAAATTTGTACTAAACTTGATAAATTTCTAGTTAACATAAAATAGAAAGACTATCCAGCTATTAGGTTTATATTAGGTAATCAGTGTTTGAGTGTGCTTTGAAAAGTCAAGAAAGTTAAAAAAAAAGTTGATTGAAACAACTGTTTTCTGTTTAGTTTATTGTGAAAGACTCTGTGGAGGAGAACATGGTGAAGATTCAGAAGAAGAAGCAGGAGCTTGTGGAGAAAGCTTTCGGCGCGAAACACACACAGAACCTAAAACAGGCACGGATAGATGAGATCCGAACCCTCATGGAGATTTAGTTTTTCCAAGCTAAATTGCATTGTATCTGTTAATTTACTTTAAAGACAGCACTTTTTTTTGCTCTATTGCAAATTGTTCAGAAAGGTTGTTTCCTTCAAATTCATATTATCTACACAATGTCTGTAGGATTGTTCTAACAGTTTTCATTGCAATAAACACTTAAAACCCTTTCTTTGTGCATAAACTGGTTTTAACCACAGTAAATGGGGAATTGTGTTACTAGTTCTTTATTACAGGTGGGGACAGTTACATGAAAGTTAAACTAGTTAAAGCATTAACAGTAGTAACTAGGTGCAGCAAAACCCTTGTGTCTTTTTCCTGCTATAGGGAGTGACTGCTCAGTAGACAAGAGCGGAGTGAACTTGGTTCATACAATAAAAGTTGGTGCATCAGAGCCAGTAATGATGATTTAAGCGAGTTGGCTGTACACAGTGTCTTGTAAACAATATCATTGCAAAGGCGGTCATTAGATGATTAACATTGAATGTGGAGTTCAGTATATCTTGGATGCTGAAGGTTTAATATCGTTTTGTTTGCTGTACGTTTCTCATCTTCACAAACGCATCGAGGACAAATGAAAGAGGTAAAATCTGAAAGGTGCAAGACCATTAATATTATAGGATTTTAGATAATAAAAAAATAACTATTGTCTTGTTCATTGAGATCAGAAACCATGCCTGAATTGGGTCATGCCTCCTCTGGAAAAGAGGCAAGTGACATACTGTGTCATTCCAACAAGTAACGCAATCACACTGTGTAAGAGATTGAGTAATTCAGCTGCATAGATCTGGACCGGTATAAAAAAAAATAAAAAAAAATCATAGCTTTTCTTTTTTTTTTTAATCTTATTTCATGTCCTGTACAAAGTACAAAACTAGATCTGATCCTAAGCACCTTTCACTTTAAGAAGGAATCAAGCCTTTTCTCTATGTTGTCAAAAGAGTCCAGTCCCATGTAGTCAGCTTGGCCCTGTTCCCACTTCTGTTTCCGCTCCTGAGACGACATCTGAGGTGGAGGGGGATGATGGGATATGTGCATCTCAGCTATTTCACCGTGAACATCACCCTGAGGGGGGGAAAAAGCAAGCAAAAATCTATCACAAAAAAGTACATGTCTAAAGGGCTATAAAATAACATTATAACAGATAAAAGATTTAATAAATTCCCTAATAATATGGCACTACTGATGAAACTCAGTGGAACAAATCGGAAGATTTTAACCCCTTAAGCATCACTGGCCCAAACCCACTACATTTTTAAAACAGTAATATATTATACTAAACCGAAACTAATCTTGATCTGTAAGCTTACAATCTCTAGTTTGTTTCCATATTTGGTGATTGATAAAATTACAGCTCCTCTATAATTTATATTGAATCAATTTCATACCCTGTTCCTTAAATTTGAAATATCAATGAACATGAAAAGTCATAAAACAGTAGAAACCTCAGTTTGTTTTAATGCCAATAGTTCAAAAGATAGCATCCATTCAATTATTTTAGGGGGAAAAAAAAAAGAGGTCTGAAAATGTTTTAACTAAAGAAAAAAAAAAAAAAAAAGTAGAGATGCACCAAGATGTGACCGGAATTATGGCCGTTTCAACCCTTATCTACACCGCAAGCGTGAGTGCCGTTTATTTTTTGGCTTGCATGTTAATTAATAAATGTGCATTTCGCTCACGCTCAATTAAAGTGAAAGCACACTTTTAAAGTCCTCGTGAACCGGAAGTTGCAAACGATTTTTCTCCAGTGCTGTGACGTATTTCCAAGTGAAACGGAATATTGAACAGAGGGCAGGGGTTTACTCTAGCGCTCCTCCTCTCCATCTCTCGCTCATAGCAAACTAATGGTTTGAGGGGAGTGGTTAAGCGTTTCCCCACCCAAGCTGTGAAACCTACGTCATCAGAAAAAGAAACCGTTCCAGACCGGAAGTAACTTTTCAGATTTTGATTAAAGATAGATTACCAAGGTAAAACATTTTTTATATATATTTTTACTTGCACGGATTAATTGTTCGCCACAAGACTAGTAATATGCGCTAACAAAGTAAATAGGTTCAATTTTGATTTCACGGGGACTTTAATGAAAAAAAAAAAAAAAAAAGATTTAAAAAGTGCCCAAAAATTGCATGTTGTGTGTTTCAACAAGAACTGGATTAGGCTATATCAGAAAAAAAATGTACCCATTTAAACTTTTTTTATTAAGTTTGAGTAAAAGTACATGGTGTTTTGTAAAAAAAAAAAATTGTACATATACACACACATACATATATATATATATATATATATATATATATATATACACACATAGAAAATAAATGTGTTATTGAAAATAAGTGGTTAGAAAAATAAAATCGGAATCAGCAGGTCAAACTATGAAAATCAGCATCGGCCTAGAAAATTGTAATCGATGCATCTCTTTAAAAAAAAAAAAAAAAAAAAAAATTGTGAGGCGGCAGCAAGCTATAACACAGATGTGTTCTATGTTTCTTAGATGAATTCATATCAAAATCTGCCAACTTTTTTATATTACTTGTGAATGGGAGATGTACTTCATAAATTGTATGAAAATTGAGGAAATAATGGTTCAGTTCACTCAAACCACATATGGGAAATGGAGGCACCCTTATATGGGCAGTAATAGAGTCTGGTTGTGACATAGTGAAAAAGTTTGGTACTGCGCCCAAACAAAATCTTACTGAAAGCTCATTTGAGATATCAACTTAATTTGACTTGTTCACATTTTTGGCTTTACCTTTTTTTTTTGCAGTTTTAGAGTCACCCAGGTTGAGACAATATACATTTTAACGTAGTATATTTTCATAAACTCAAACTTCTATAACTTTTCTGTTTCACTTCTACAAAAATCTGCCAAATGCATTTTTTACAGGCAAAATCAAATATTTGAATAGAAATTCGTGCAATCCGGGAATTTCTCACGAGGACAAAAGATTTCCCCATTCAGAATATACAATTTGACCAGAATTTGTTTTGACCAACAGAAATCAGCGTTTAAAAGAAATTGTCTTTAAAAAAAAAAAAAAAAAAAAAAAAAAAAAACACACAACACCGACCAAAAACTGCCTATACAATGATCATTGTGCCAGTCTCAGCAGCGGACCTTACCTCTGTGCATCCGGAAAGGAAGAGCTGGTCACCATATTCCTCCTTCATGAGGGGCAATACTGAAGAACAGAAAAGCTCCCACCACTGCATCAAGTAGTTGGGTTGCATTTCAGAAGCATCCTGGGGCTGTCCCTTTATTCTTTTACTTGTGGTGTCATAACTGTAATCCCACGGTTTGACTTTGCCAAGGAAATGAACAACTTTGGCATCACGGCCATATCTAAGGGAATAAGGAATGATCAGATTGCAACAGGCAAAATGACAAGGATTAGGAAATCCCAAACACTGGCCAACCAGAAGAGTTAAAAGAGGGACCAGCCAGTTATATAAAAATTGCCTGCTACACTTATTTGAATAAAGCCAAATGTTATTCATGGGTATGTTAAAATCTGTCAGTCTGTGGCATATAGGTACAACGTGTGCATTTAAATTAGATCCTAATGGTAGCCTGACTAACCAGATAACAGAATGTGTTGCTAGTGGAAAAAAGATCATGTAACAAACTATTCAAAATGACATTTCGGCTCTGTGTATAGACCCTAAAATAGACCCACTATTTTTGGAGGACAGAATGTATTTGGAGGAAGTTGAACTGCAAGGCCAGGAACAGAGAGGATTTCTGGTGCTGGCTTGATCTCTTGTTTTGCGGCGTGATTGGGTTTTCATTTGACCTTGGCTCGGCTAATTACAAATACTTAACATCTGCAAGCAATCCTAACATTCATAAAATAAAAATCGAGAACAAATGAAGACAACACGTGAAGAACTAAGTAACCCATCTGCTCAAACACCAACTTCCAAAAACCCTTTGAGAATTCTAGCATGTTAAATCTCACTCACTGCTTGAATGCTGGGAGGTAGGTGTAGATGGCGATGCTGCTGAGGTTGTAGATGAAAGGAAGGTGTTTTGAAATGTCTGCCGTTGCCCAATCACTGAAGAAGCTGTTGAGAACACCCTGATCCCCACCTGACGAAAACAAGACAAACAAAATGAATAAGAAATAGCACCACAGTCCTCAAGTCTTGGCAACATTTCAGGCGCTCCAATGTGAAAAAAATATTTACAGAAGGTTGTAATCTTCCCTAACCAGATGAAGCAATCAGAAGATTGTTTCAGTATACACTTGCTTTGCTATTTGTTTAACCTTATTACTTGGTTTTTCAAGGGGCATGTTAGCAAAGAAAAGTGACCTCAGTCAAACTGACCTCAGATTAGTGAACATGACCCATGTAACATATGAAAAGCACATGATGTCCTATACATGACTATGACAGAGAACATGTAAAACAGGATAGTTCAATGCCCTCACAACCCTCATGTCATTCCAAACTCTTATAACTTTAATTTCTCTGCAAAACAAATGAAGACATTAATAAAACCTTAAAGAAAAGTATTGAGTGGTTTAATTCAGGTTTACTGACAGGTAGGCTAGGTGGTGAAGGTTTTTATTTACACATAAAATTTATCAATGCACATAAAATATGATAAACTTCTCGATTCATACCTTTTACAAATCTCTTTATTAACTTTTTGAAGTATCAAAAGTTTCATTTACATAGACTTCCAATGGCGAGAATTCTCTCATGGTTCATTAAAAACCATCCTCATTTGTGTTTCAAATATAAATTAAAGTTTTTTGGGGTTTGGAACAACATTAGGATGAGTAAATGACAATTTTTTAGGTGAACTTATCTCTGAAAGTCTGAAAATATGAGTTCTGATGAGGAGCCATAGACTGTTAGGCATTGCTATTGGGACTAAATCCAATCACACTACAAGAACCCTCTGAGTCTGTATGTTGTCCCACACACAATGCTTTTAAAAACACAAATTGCATCATGTTTTTATCTCTCCAAGTGACTGAGATAAAACAGAAATATGATAGCCTCCAAGACCTTCAAAAGAGGCCTGCTGATAACATCTGAGGCTCATATCTTTGTCCAAGATTAGGTCTCTAAATAAAGAGCAAACCATTAATTTGGGTTAGACAAAGCACAGAAACACTGATAAAGTGATAAATACATCATCTTCAATAGTTAGCCACATAAATGCACTGGGATTGAGGTATTTCATAATATATAATGTAATCAGGTATAAACTCTGAGGGTTCCTGAGTCAAAAGTAAAAACAAAAGGTCAAGTAGGAGTCTCTCATATAAGAGGCCTTTGTTTACTTCATCCCACACTGAGTTTAGGAATAACTCCTCAGGTGGAGTGGTGCACCCAAAAAAAAAAAAGAAAAATCACAGAGCCACCTTGTGTTCAGCCTACTTGACTAATAAAGAACTCAGTCATTGCCATGTTGAGCTCAAGTTGCACAACTTTCAGACCAAGTTTTAAATATTGTATACTATAGCCAACAAGATGTGCTGGAGGAGTGGGACCATAATTTTCTCTGAGGAATCCCTAAATATATGGCTACAGTTATTTTACAAAACCTTTTTGCGAACCTCAATTTAAGTCCAGGAATATTAAAACACCCCCCATAGCTTCTTCAATAAATATAATGAGGCTAAAGAGTGTCACTCACCATCAAAGCTGCCACTCTCTGAGCAGGCGGTGAGAAGCTTCCCATACGTTTCATTGGACGGGCGGAAGACAAACACACCAGAGTTGAAGCAGTCAGGCCAGCCGGGATCCGGTGCAGCAGAGAGCTCCTCTCTCTCAAATAACTCATCTATGTTGGACAAAACCTGGCGACAAGAGGGAACACTGTTAGACCCTCAAAGACATCGTGAAATCACTACCAGCACTGAGAGGCAGGACTTACTAGGGTATCTGCATCCATAAACACGCATTTGGAGTATTCTGTAAGAGTCCAGCAGTGAAGTTTGGTGAAGGTGACGCCCAGGTCAGGCCTCTTCATCAGAGCCAAGTGTGCAGCATCCCCACTGTCCAGCACATCCACCAGCCTGACCTCATCATAGACTTTATGAAGCACTGCTCTGAAATGTAGCACACAGAGCACAAAGTGAGTTTGACAGATCTATAGATAACACTCTGCACTGCGGACCACAACAAATACCCTAAGTGACAGTAAGCAAAGCAGTTGAAAAACCATTTATCTGTGCTGTGCTAAAAAAACACTCTACCTGGAGGGTTCTGAGACATGGGGGCCAATCATGGCCACTAGTTTTTTTGAGGTGTTGTGGTTCCTCAAGGACTTGCCAAGTACCACTGCTCCTTTGGCATAGTTGTCAGTTGTAGCAAGGGTGACAAAAGCCTGGTCTGGATTAAACAAAAACACAATCATTACCATCACTCACGCATTCTCACACATGTAATATCTTTATATTGCATAAACAAAATAGCAATTATCAACATTATTTTAAAACAAAAGCCATTTGTGGGTGCAGCCATTTTTAACTTGTAAGTGTCCGACAAAGGAAGCCTGGCAAATTAATTTGTTTTAAAGGTGCTACATGTATTTTTTAGCGGCCTCTATCAGTGATGCAACTAATTTTTACAAGAGCGCTCGTGCTCAAACACAAGAGCGAGAGTTTCAACACACTGGAGAAAGAGTCACACAACATGCTGGAAACTCATGTAAACTCCCACTGCAACTTTACAACAATAGGCTACTTTTATCAGCTTGATGTTGAACTAATGCTCCATGCTTGTACCATGATAATGTTACATTTGTGGATATCTAGCATAAGGCATTTCACTAACTATTCATGTATCTTTCACAATCAGCAATGTCAACATAGGCGAATATATAATCTAACAAAAATGGTTAGTGAACTAGACTGAACACTGTGGGGTTTCTCAAACGCTGTCCTGGAGGGCCTCTGTCCTGCAGAGTTTAGCTCCAACCCTGATCAAACACACTTACCTGGGACTTTCTAGTGATCCTGAAGACCTTGATTGGCTTGCTCAGGTGTGTTTAATCAGGGTTGGAGCTAAACTCTACAGGACAGCGGCCCTCCAGTAAGATCGTAGGAAGTAACATTACTTTACTGATTACTGAACGCGTTTAGAAATGTGTATTATAAACAATATGATAGTAACGTTAGTGGGATGAGTGACGTTAGACAGTAGATCTAGTACATTAAATAAAAGTTATATCCTAAAGCACCTACTATTTCTTATTCTGGAACAGTCTTTTGTATTAATTTCAGCTCTCATATGTCGTCGTTTACCTTGCTATTTCATTACGGTTTACTATTATTTCAGCATATCTGAAAACTTGTAATTTATCATAATAAAAATAGCGGAGGTCTCTCCATCATTCATGAGACTTGATTGTCTAATTGATTGGATCATTGTGGTTTGCTAATGCGGTGTTCTCATGACAGAGCCAGTAAACAACACCAGAGGAAAGGAAAGGAGAGATTCATTAAGGGTTATTTTGGTTCAAGATTACAAGTGTATGCGAATTAAATAATGACGTGGGTGGATAAATTATGTATAAATACCGCAGTACGCCATACAACTCTCCATTTTGATTTCAATTCAACCTTAATGAATCGGAAGTCTTGCATTGAAAAAGTTGAATGCAATAGTTAGTCATAATATTGAGTCAAAATCCTTTGTTCATCGTTTCGTGTTGAGCCAAGAGGGCTGATATAACGTTACTGGGACTTTTTATCACTCCTTTAGATAAAGAGCGCATTTTTTGCAGACCAGCTTATGTGAGGATACGCTTGGAGTGAAACGGATTTTGAAAGCCACAGCGTACATGTTTTCATGATTTTCATCACTATTGAGAAACCACCAAACCCGGAGTGGAGCTGGACGGACGACGTCATGTCGCAGCACTCGTTTTGTATTTTGAACAGATAACGTTAGCACTAAACAGGCGTGGAGCATAACGTACGTAACTTTCGTGCGGTTATTTTGTGTGCCAATCATTTGCGCAACAACAACTTTAATGTTAGAATTAATTTAAAAACAACGTAAGCAGCGCACGTTTGATAAACTGACTGCAATACAAACTAACGGCAGTTCTTCCTGCATGACAGGCCAACAGATGGACGCATACTGCGTACAAGAGTCGACTAGGCCATTTACGCAATATAGCAGACTCTAAACTGTTTAAATCGGTAAATATTACAGGACAACGCAGTCTACGCAATGCTGAAATGAAATGCAAGCTCTAATATCCAACGAGTCCTTCGACCTCTGAAGCAGCGCGTGGTTTGTAATTACTGCATGTTACTTGCGTAAACACAACTGTAATTTACTTCATTTTACCGGCATAAACGATATGTGACGTCCATAATGTTGCCTACCTGCCATGGCTCATGGAACAGCTAAACCGAACTGGATACAAGTCCACTGCTGGGAGAGAAGCAGTACGTGTCTGACAGAGGATTTATACTAGTGACATGACTTTCCATGGTCACATGACCCCAGACAACAGACACGCCCCCCACACTCACCACTCGCTTTTAACATTTCCGTTAAATACACATCAACTACTAATTTTTAAATATGTAATTTAAAGTGATAATGTTTTAGTTCATGTTTAAATGTAACTCCTTTTTGTCTCAGTAGTATTGTCTATTACTTCACAAACATTAAAAAAATAAAATAATTTGAAGCCATAATGATTACAAAAGCCTTGAATTAGTCATTAAATATAGAGTATAGTTTAATATATTTATTTTTTGTTTTCCTGTTAAAGACACCACTTAACCTATACATTTTTCAGACTCAAGTACATTAGAATAAAATACTGCAAAATATCATTTATCAAAAGAAAAAACAATTTTACCCAGACCTTTTTTTGGAGTAGCTACATTATGGTGGGGAAAAAATACAACGTTTTATTATAGATGATCATTTATATCGATGGTAACCATGATAGCACAGCAGATGTGAAAATGACAATATCCTGTTGGACCCCAATCTAATCCAGAGGTTTTCAAACTGCGGCCGGAGACCCTCAGGGGGCCACTAGGGAGTGCTATGGGGATACTGTGGAAAAGTTTAGATTTATAGAGAATTAATAGATTAGAAACATAACAAAATAAAATACTTGTGGGTATACTATAAAGTTAATAGCATCATAAACGTACTGTTAATAGACAGTAAAGTGTCCAGATATACATATTTATATTTTTATTTATGTATAAATTCTAAATAGATTAATTATTATGCATGGGTCTATAAAGTACATGACTTATGAATGATCATAAAAAACTTTGAAAACCCCTGGACTGATCAATAGGTCTACATGACGCATGGACCACCAGGGTAAAAGAGTATGTGGTGAAACATAAAGGTATTTAAAATTACACTTTTTCAGCTTTGGTTGATGGATATATATAGAGAGAGAGATTCACCATGTTATGCTTTGGCAGGCAAGGTGAAAAGTTTGTCATAAAATCAGCCCATTCTCACCCCCAAGGCGTCACCTAACTAACCTGATTTTGACCATGCTTCAATATTTGACGCTTTAGGCGCCCTTTAGCGTCAGTCAGATGACGCCCTAGGATCGTAACCCTACCCCCACCCCAGACCTAAACCTAACCGCGTTATCCAATTGACGCTTTCCTTTAGCGTCAGTTAGATGACGCCGTAGGATCGCGTCATGTAACTGACGTTAAAGGGCACCTAAAGCGTCAAATATTGAAGCATGGTCAAAGGTGACGCCTTGGGGTGAGATTAGCGTTGATAAAATTGCTTTGACAAAATGCAGTGGGACAAAATTTACATAGACCAGCATATCAGTAATGACAGTTTATAGTGTATTTACACTGAACTTACACATACACCCAAAAAGACTTTTAGAAAGAGTAATAATCACTATAGTTGTTCCCATTCCAGTATCAATGGACAGAACACAATAAACAAGAGTTACCTTCTGAATTGAATCAATGAGTTTAAAAGGATGAATCATTGGAGATTCATTCCCTTCTTGTTTTCCTGGTTTTCTCATGTGGGTTTAGGTAGTGAGGAGGTTTTAACGACAGAGAGGTGGAAAGACTCCGTGGCTCGATACGAGAGAGAGCTCATCTTGGAACTGAGGGTGGGGTGAGAGACCACAGAATTCGAGGAACACTTCAACAGCTTCAGCAAGTTCTTGCGAAAGTTCTTCCCAACAAAACCGTACAGGATTGGGTTCATACAGCTGTTGAAAAAGGCAATGCATATGGTGAACGGCATTCCGGTGTCAATGATCTCAATGACGTCGCAGTTGATGATCACTTTCAGCAGAAGAAGCATGTCCATGAAGTTGAAGATCTGATGCGGTGCCCAGCAAAGGAAAAACGACAGCACAGCGGCGGCCAGCATGCTCAAGACCTCGTCCCCGTTCGATCTCGAATTCCTCTGAATGTCCCGCGCTTTGAGCAGAGCCCGACCGATCAGGCAGTAGCACGTGAGGATGATGGTGATGGGCAGAATGAACCCAAGAACACTTTTCATCAGACTGAGAGTTACCAGCACATTGGGAATATCTCCTTTGTCTAGGATGGCGCATACAGTGACATTGATATTCTGGATTAAGTGGGTTTTACGGATGAGGGATGTGGGCAGGCTTAAAAGAAAAGCAACTACCCAAACCAGGATACACGTCACACGGGCGTAGACCACCGTACGGCACCGCCGGGACCGGACGGGATGAACGATCGCCAGATACCGGTCAATGCTGAGAGCGGTGAGGAAAAAAACACTAGTATATAGATTAAAGAGAACCATGCCAGCAATGGCTTTACATAGGAAGCTTCCAAAAAGCCACTGGTAGCCTGTTGCCGTGTATGTGGCCCAAATGGGCAGGGTTAGGAGGAAAGTCAAGTCTGACACGGCTAAGTTCAAAACAAATATGTTGGCAACAGTCTTCAGTTTCAAACAGAAGTAGATGACAGCGACTACCAGGCTGTTGCCTACAATTCCGATAATAAAGTTGCAGCTGTAGACAATGGGAATGAACGTGAAGATGAATTTGTGGTTCCCGGTCATGTTACACGTGAGATTGAGTCCCAAATTGTGGTTAGCAGTAATGTTGTCCATTTTGTAGACTTATTTTCACAGCCTAAAGAGTTGCATCACTAAAGGAGCCCTGCAAGTGGATAAAGATGGTCAATATGGCAAAAATATTCCATGCATTTTCTCAACAGGTTTTTTTTTTTTATCCATTTGGAAGGTGTGATACTATACAACAAACACCAGATGTCTCTCTGCTAATATTATTTAATATGGGCCCCTGAATAAAAGTTAGGTGTTTTTTTCCTCCTATACATATCAGCTCCATATTCTTCTCCTATAGGCCTATATTATACTCTGCCATAAATCTTGGTTTATGAAATATGACATTCAAAATCAAACACATATGCAAACATTTCTTTGTCTGATTTAGATTTTTATTTAGATCTTGTCAAAATGTTCGAAAAAATTAATTTGATTTTTTGAAGTATTATTTCATGTCAGATAGATAGATAGATCGATAGATCGATCGATAGATAGATAGATAGATAGATAGATAGATAGATAGATAGATAGATAGAGAATTAAGGCTGGTCACCCTCTCAAAGCTGCACCCACATCTCTACTATAATGGGAACGGGCTGCTTCTCTTGGGTGAACTTCTGACCTTTCCGAAAGGTCAAGCATGTGGTTATCTCTTATGAACGCTAGATTCTCACCATCACAAAGGGAAGAGCATATTTTTTTTCTGGAATAACCCATCAAGGAAAATTCTTGGTAAGTTTAACTTACTCGGCCAATAAAACTGAATTTTAATTCTGCATTTATTCAGTATTAGCATTTAAAATTGCAATAAGCCACATATTATGTAAGCAGAAGCAGGCGTGCTGCCAATGGAGTCAACGACCAATAACAGAAGACATGGCATTCCAAGGTTCATGTATTTTAATATGCTTATCAGACATCCGCTATTGCGCAGGAAGTTGTGGCTAATAGAATACTGTAATTAATTATACAGATAAGAGAGCTTTGTTTTTGTTTTCATTTATTTGTATTTTGGTTGTCTAAGAAAATCTTTGTCCTCCCTACAATGATGGATATGATCAGCCCTGTTAACAAAATTGAGTGAAGGAAAGTTTATGCATTCAAACTGTGATGGAGTAACAATAACATTAAAGTCCTCTAAAATTATTGACAGAGAATCTTAATGTGCTGAGACGAACACATGAAACATTGACATCAATGGTGGGTCAGTAGTTCCAAAGGCATTGTCTGCTATATGACCAGACACACAACAGAGCACACACACACAAATATTAGATACTGCTTTATAGTTAAAAATGCTATGAAACATTTACTGTGTGTTATCTGAGGTGAAATGAATGTTCTTTGTTAACTCAAAAGCTTACTCATCTATTTGGGTTCTGATTAAATATTGTGATTTAAGATAATAATTAGAAATGTAATAACATAAAAACGTAAATAAAGACGGGGGAAAAGGCAATTTTTACCTTTAGTCAATGTGACATCCAAGCTGCTCCATCAGTTCCAAAATTAAGCGTTTAGCTTTAAGAGATCCGTCCTGACTCTTGGTCATGACAGAGTGCCCGGTGCATTTCCTCTACGCCCCTCTTATACCTCTCCCATAGTCCTACAACTACACCAGGGACCCACAGCGGGGGCTGCGCTGTGGGGGCCGGATACGTCCATGGTCATAAGCAAAAAGTGGGGGTGAGAGAGAGAGAGACCCTTGAGGGCAGAGACAGATTTTCCCATGATTTGTTTGGGCACCTTTTTCTCTTTAACAAGAAATGTTCTGTTCTCTTTCCACACACGTGTAAACAAAATTAAAAAGCCTCAACATTAGCATATGACACATTAAATGATTATCCAAGCTTTAAGCACATAACAAAAAAGGTAAAAACTGGTATAGCGAGGCAGCATGGGCATTTGCATTATTCATTCTGACGGCTCTATATTAATGCATTTTATCAAGACAAGGTATTAAACCTGTTAAATGATCAGCTTAATATATAAATGGCAAGCTCACATAGCTGAATAATAATGCATTCAGCCACTTTCATAAAGCATGAGGAAAACATATTGGACATTATGTTGATGTCTATTGTGAAAGAGACCAAGAGTGATTCAGTGATATTACATGCTGCAGACAGAATCAAATAAGGTACTGAAAATAATGTTTTTGAATAGCGCTTTTCACATAATAACACACTATATTTTCCAAAGCACATATGAAGCCATGGACATTTTTCAAATAGTTTTCTTTAAGTACGAGTTTAAAACTACGCACTTTTTTTAGTGACTGTCTGCTATTAATCTTTCCCTCATTTTTTTGAGGCCTCTGGGGTCTCCGGCCTCTGGTGCCTGTTTTACTAAGAACTCCCAAGGGCAATTCCAGCTGCTTCGTCATTGGTGTTTTCACTATTCCGCTGCAGACCTTTCATCTCTTCCCTTAAACAGTTAGTCTAAGTGGCTAGTTTGCATACGCACTAAAGATCTAGAGAACAAACAAAACTTAGTGATGTCATGGCTAAAAGAAATTCAATTGTGAGAGAGTTGCTTTAAAATATGATTTCTCAACATAATGAGAAACATCATGCTAATCTGTTCTAGAGCCCGACCGATAAAGGATTTTGAAGGCCGATACCAAACAAATATTTTTGGGTTTTAAAATTCGATATATCGGCCGATATTTATTTATTTTTTTTAAACTGGACATGATAGTCATAAATTTTGTCATGCTTATTTGAGTTAAGAGAACTGATGGGGATGTTCTTTTAATTGTTATTCTCGTTAGTCTCGTGACCAACTAAATGAGTGTTGCCAACAGGGACGGTGTAGAGTGCCCTCTGGTGGACAAACTACACAACTCCAACACTCATGACATTGTTCAAGCGTGTTTCGTCCGTTTTTATGTTATTTTTGAAATATTCATTTATCACCCATTATAACTGCCGATACCAATAGTTTGGAAAATGCCTAATATCGACCGATAATATCGGTCTGCCGATATATCGGTCTGGCTCTAATCTGTTTTACTTTTAATGCTACTATTTTGTACCAACTTAACATTCAGAGCATCAGGAGACTTTCTCTCTAATGTTTGGACAAAAAATACTACTACAAGATGTAACTAGAGGTGGCTCTAATTGGTAGACCGTATATCATTGAGAACATAATAGAATTTTGATTGTTTTTTGATGCAAAAAAAGTGACAATAAATATGGTCAGTTTAACAGTGACACAAAAGGACTGCCCAGAGACAGAGAGGGCGGTGCATAAGTGGATTACGTGTTGCTGCATCAATAGAAGGCTAATTCAATACACTCATGTGCTCAAAAGTTAATGTTGCCTTCAGGGAGCAATGTGGATGCTGATGTCTGCAGTTCCCCTGCCACTATTAAGGATATTTATTCTACCTGTTTGTTTGGGTGCATGTAAAAGAGCACATATCTGGTAGTAATCAGATTTCTGTTGATATAGTAATCCAAATTATGTTGATTTTACATATTGGATCTATTGTAAATGTAGTTTTAATCATAAAACAGGGGATAATGCACAATCAAACTGACTGTATATTTATCTTGCTGACTAAACAACTACTCACCAAATGAATAAATAAGTGGGTGTTAAATATTGAATCCTAGTAGGCTTATATTTATTTGTTTATTTATAATTATTATAATGTAAAAAACAGAAAGTTGTGTCTAAGAATGTAGCCTAGAAAAAACTTCAGTAGGCCTATATTACAGTCAGTTTCTACTTGTTTCTGGGGGAATGAGCAATGGATGGATGACGAGACAACTGGATGTCATGATTGACCAATCAGAATCTAGTGGAATACGCCACGTAATAACGCTAAACAATCTTTTTTTACATCAAGACGTACTGTATAACTTTCCGACTAATCTAATGCAATCTCAGATGACAATTTTATTTTTTTTAATGATCTATAATAGCCAAGTCTAAAACTCACAGCTCTGATTCCCATGCAGCTTTACCCTGGAGAGCACCACAGTTTGTCCACACCTAAATCAACATGGCCATCCCGAGGCAAAGCAAAAACCAAACACACCAACAAGCCCTCGGGGACTTTTAAAGTTTGTTTGCATAGATATTTGAGATTTTCATGTTGTCTCCCAAAAACACAGTTGTCCTCCTGATGGTGCTAATAAACAAACATGTAATATTTTACAAAATGTAGATGTTGGATTTTTTTCTGCTCAACTTAAACTACCTTAAGGCAGTAGGCCTATATGAACAGATGTAGAAGTCTAACCAAGCTCTAGTCTAGAGGCAAACAAGAACGTTTAGCTGAAATATTTATACATTATAGTATATATATATATATATATAAAATATTTTTCGTTGTTTACGTCAATGCCGGGTTGTGAATTTGTCATACATGTTCTTGACATAACAACATGAGTCAGTCTTGGAGTCCTAACCTTTGCCCTCTACTGCCACTGTTGATGCGAGTCACATACATGAGAAAAACATCCTGGATGACACTGTACCATTCTGCCTTATATGTCCCACTTAAAGACTGCATGGTTCTCATGGAGGTACATAATATAAAGTCTAAGACTTGGCAAGCACTGCATTGTCTACTTAGGCCTATTGGTTTTAGGCTACTGCTCACACGCATTCCCCTCATGCAGTCTGCAGCGTTTGATATGCCTTCTTGCTCTTCTGTCGACACCTTCTGAGGAATTCTGATGAAGAGCAGAGCCTCACTACCCAAAATATCTCCTCCAATCACCCTGTTCCTCAGTAAAGTCATGAGAGAATATTACACACACAAAGAATGGCAAATATATAAGCTGAGTCATGACGATTTGCAAACACATAAATCGGCATTCTCATGCTTTAAACTGCCCAAAGGAAATGTTTTATTGCTGAAAAGTTGCTCTTTTGTTACTCGAGGGACCTTTTAAAAGATCATTGTTTCAATTAGTTTTTTCCCAACAACTCCACAGATAAAACAAAAGATTAGATTAAAAAAAGCAAATTCACAAATATTTTTTCAGTTTTTTCATAACACAAGATATAATAAAAATTCAAAAAATTTCTAAAAAGTAGAAAACTTAAATGGATAGTTCACCCAAAAATTAAATTCCACAATCACTTACTGACTGAACACACAATATAATATTTTAAAGAATGTTGGTAATCAAAAAGTTGACGGTAGCCATTGACTTCCAAAATACTATGGAAGTCAATGGGGGCCGTGAACTGTCTGGTGACCAACATTCTTCAAAATATCTTCTTTTGAGAGTCAACAGAAGAAAGATACTCATACAGGTTTGGAACAACATGAGGGTGAGTAAATGACAAAATTTTTGTGCGAATTATCCGTTTATTTCAAAAGTTTCTATTAGCTGTGTATTTATCTCATTGGTGTATTGCAAAAAAACTAAATATTAAAAAGATGGTCCTATCTGGGGAAGTTAATCAAGTTTCAGTCCATCTGGAGGAGACTACATGTTATTGTTACTAACATTAGGGCATCGTTGTTATTGTCCTATTCTAATTATGTTAAAGTCACCATGGAATCAAAATGGACAATTCTTGTTTTTTATGAATATTGCAGCATTTGTAAAAAAAAAAAAAAAAGTTTATCCCTGCACATCATTAATAAACCACCACCGGAACCAGACAACACGCTCTCGCTCTGCCGGCCACAGCTCTCTGGATGCCACTATGTTGCGGCCAGAGCCCAGATCCGGGCACAAATCTGCTCGGACATGTCAAATCGCCAGGATGGCGTCAGGTCCCGAAACCTTTACAGGCCTCCTGGTCTGGGCTCAGCACAATCTGTGCTCATTGAGAGCAGGACATGTGCTTGGTCACCTTAATGTGGGACCAGACAGACTGTCCAGAAACAATGTTCCAGCAAGATAATGGTCTTTGCACCCACAGACGGTCCTACTGCTGTGGGAGACATTCGGCAGAGTGAAAATGCTCACTGTCCGAGTTTCTCTAAGAGGCGGGTGTTTTGGCCCATGTCTGGCCCCGCTGCCCACTCTATGCTTTCCCCCCCGTCTCGCTCCTGGCTCAGGTATTGGAATTAGGGAAAACAGATGATCAGTGCTCCTTGTGGCTCCACTCTGGAAAAAAACAGGCTTAGTTCCCAGTTCTGATGCAGCTGACAAGCACTGCCCCATGGCCAATACCAATGAGGAAAGACTTACTCTCATGGGCCATGCATGCATGCATGCATTTATGCATGGGCCATCAACAGGTACCTGTTTAGCAGCATTTACTAAACCCGCGACTAGCCAGTCACTGCATGGGGAAGAACGATCTGGTCATCTGCTTCCTTAAGGGAGTTAAGAGGCTAAATCCTCCCCCCTCAGTCCCCATGTGGGACCTTTCTTGGTTTTGGAAGCCATGAAAGGTGCCCCGGTCGAGCCAATTCACCTGTCAGACATGAAACATTTGTCATTCAAAACAGTGTTTCTTATGGCTCTCACTTCAGTGAAGCGGATAGACGATTTACAAGCGCTCGCAGTAAGCGCGACGTATGTGGAATTTGGGCCAAATCATTCGAAGAACATACTCAAACCAAGACACGGGCACGTGCCTAAATCCATCAACACACCATTCAGGGCTTTGGTTATTTCCCTTTCTGCCCTGCCGGTTTACAATGAGGAAAACGAAGCAAGCCTCCTTTGCCCAATTCCAGCACGCGCAGCGTTTTACATTGTGTTCCCCTAGCGTAAGATATTACGCAGTACAAGAGAACCTCTCAAAGGAGAACGTACTCGGTTACTAACGTAACCTCGGTTCTCTCTAAGGGAACGAGTACTGCGCATCTTTGCCCTGCCTGCAACACGCTCTGGTTCGCTTCGCCCATCTCAGTGGGACGTGACGTAGTCGACGTGAAGCGCCCCCATTGGATCTGACGTCACCAAGGGCGTCTCTCGATAGGCTACTGCAGTTGCCGCAGGACAGCCAATAGGCACGCGAGCCGTCTTGCCTGTGTCTGCATGCTGCCGCAGCGCGTTTTACATTAATTCAATATTAAGGATCATTTTTGGCTTCAATATCTCATGGAAAATAGGTTTTTCCTCTCGTTCCCTCTTTTAGAGAGAACCGAGGTTATGTTAGTAACCTATGTTAGTAGTTTTATACCAACTTTAACATCCTAAATTTTCACTTGAAAATCATCTATGTTAAATGTACACTAGTTATTTCGACTAAGGAGGCTAAACATTCAAATGAATCAGAGAGCTGCGCTGACTGAACATACAGACTTCAAAGACCATCCCGAAAAGCAGATGAGATGGACTGAGCTGGAGTTTCACCAGTTAAGATTTGTCTTAATTATTCTTTGTAACATTATCTTTCCATGTTTATTTTTACTACTTTCCAGTCATTCTGAATTTATTCCTATCATCATCCCATTTTTATTTTCATCCTTAAAGAATAAAATATAAGGGGTGGGATGAAGGTCAAAGTTTTTGTAATAAAATTTTATGGCTAGAGGTTTCTTGTTCAAACGACCTCTTAGATATATGTAAAAACTCAAAGTAGGGAATCACCAAGAAGGTTTATTTTAGAACAAGTATGTTTTTATTTTCTCAGTCTCATGTGGCCCAATCATTGTCAATTACCATAAACATGAGGAAATTTTAAAAAAACCTCAAATCCCAGAAGTCGGCCATGCAGAATTGTTTGAGGGACTGAGAGCACAACAAGCTGACCAGTGTTTGACTCGACAAGACAAACAGAATGTTTATTTTTTTCGCTCTATTCCAGTTCAGCTGTAAAACAGAAGCTGCCACTTGAAATCATACTGTAATTTACTATGTGACCATGATAGAAGAGTAGTTTTGTTTCCGTTGTCAAGTCAGGTTTATAATATCCACTGTTGAACAGCTGGCCTTTACTTTAGGGAAGCCATAACGTACAGTACTACAAACAATATGATGCTCATCTGACGTCATGAAGCCACCACCTGCCAGTCCTCTTTATCACGTACACTCATCCATCAGGAAAGTGCAGGAGCCCTGCATGCCCTGATGTTACTGTAACCAAATCAAGCTCACTAATGGATGTATAAACCGCATGGAGAAGAGGGCCTGAGGCTTCAAACAGACTTTCAATTACTTCTGCACTGGTTACTTGTGTCTTTTGTTCGTTATCACAGCTGTCAGGTTTGTCACCACACAGAAGCACATTTGACTGGAGACTACATCAATGCACACTGTTACAATGTTATATTATGTGGGTTGATTTTCCAAAGGCTAACCTGAATCGTCAATGACAAATGGATGTAATTGTTTGAAATTGAATTCAAAATGCACCATGTTAAAACGAACAGATTTAATGACTGGTCTAACAATCAAGATTAAAAGTAATTAAAAAATATATCATGTCAAGAATATCAAAATGTTTTTTTTTTTGGTTACTCTCTTTGATCTTACTAAAAAAAGTGCCTTTTCTTAAAAGTCAGACTTTAATTTTTTATTACATTGATACACAGTCACGTGGGTCAATGTGTTATTTTAACGATTTTATGTTTTTCTTGTCACATGGCAAAATAATGACTTCCTTAATTTTGGTTATGCCACACTGACTGTTTTTAAGTACAATCACCTTACCTTGGCTGTATAAGTCATTTCAGTTGCATCTGTATAACTTAAAGTTGAGTTAATGTTAAAAACATATGTTGTCATGGCATCATTTTTTACAGTGTATACTGTATAACCTAGTGATTTCACCAAGTGCAACATTTTGATCCTGGAACAACATTCCAATCAACCGATATTTAAGGGACACGTTTACAGTTTGTTTCAAGTTTAGGGTTACAACCAGGCTTAGGTGCTTCTACATCAGTTTTATTCACTGATCATTTCCCTTTGTTTTAGGATAGGGTTAGGTCTAAATTTTCAGACTGGAATGTTCCAGAATCAACAAAATATGTCGACCCAGGAACATATTTCACTTGATAAAATCACAGAGGTTTTGTTAAAACTCTCATAGAAAGTGTCTATAAATAGAGTTGAGCTGAGCTGAGAAGTACTGATTACCTAATATTTTGATTTTGCAGATGAATAAATCCTGTATATCACTCTACACATGACCAATAATTATGATTGCTTCATTATAATATTAGGATAAAAAAAGGTAAAATGTCTGTATTGACATAACAGTCATGAGTTAAGTCAAGAGTTTCAGCCAGTTTTGAAATAATGTTTGATACTTCCTGTCAAAGCAAGAACTGTCTCACCTCTGCCACCATGTGGCTCCCTGTATGTAGACAGTTTTACAAGTCAAGTTTCTAACAAACTTTAAATTCTAACAAACTTTTGTTAACAGCAACCATATAATGAACACATTAACATCTGCACCGATGATGTAGAGTGTGATTTTAAGAGCTATAATACTCAGGAAACACTCAAGGGAAAAACATCAATCAATGAAGTATGCAAATGACATCTGAAGGCCCGTCATACTGCTGGAAACGAGAAATGCATGCAGGTAATTCTGACAGCTGCGCATTGAAATGACAGCTGCAGCTTGAACTGTTTGGTCCAGTGGGAGAACCTTTCAAATGAGAATAGCTGGGGATCACTCTTAAAAAGTCATTTTTATCATGTATAGTCCCGTGACCCTGGATAAAGCGGTTTGGAGAATGGACTTAAAATGTCCTTTTTGAAATTATATAAAATGATAAAATAGTAAATATAAAACACATTCATACAGCTTGTTAACTACATGTGTGCAGTTATACGGTATAGTTTGGAACCATTAGTATAGGCTAACCTACGTGGACCTTAAGACCTAATCACAATCTCAAGATTATGTTCCTGAATTCTACAAATAATCCAAACACAATTATTCTCCCGCATAAGAATTGAAATTTAAGTTCAGTTTAAATTAAATGTAGCCTGATGCTAATATATTAGTATTAGAGGCTTTTATCCACAGAGAGATTAGCTGTGATGGTTAGCCTGGTCTTCTCAACACAATTACTGGTGACATCAGAGACACCAGATCAATGCGCAGGGGTGATTTATTCTGTCTAGGTGAACAGAACACATTGTCTTTTCCAGAATCACCCTCAACTAATGTTATGAGGAGCACATTAGCATTCCAATTTACCTTTACAATGCTCTTAATTGTGTGCCTAATCAAAAATGTTCGTAAGGAAACAGAAATGTGACTTTTCATGTTTTATTACACTTGAAGAGAACATGACCACACTTTACAAGACAACAACAAAGTTGAGATGATTCTGCATTAAAACATGTTCGACATTTGTGTAGAGTTTTAGCTACTGACGGGTAACACATTTTCGATCATGACTAATATCACATGCTGTAACGTGCAACTTATAAGAATCTAACATGCAAACTGTTTTTAGTTTTCAAGTTGTCAAATGCTTTAATATATTATTTCTTTTTTCATTAACATTTCATGTAACTGGAAAAAGGGACCATTTCACTTTAACACTTATTTCTGACAAAAACGGATACGCATACTAGAGCACACCTTAAAATATTATTTGAAAAAGGCTGGATCTCTATAGCTCGTCACATAGCTGTATAGTAGTTCTAGTTCTGAGTGTATTCCACGACTGGCATATGGACCTGCATTGATGAAAAAGAGAAATAGAAAAGATAAAAATGCAAATAGAAAAAGTATCTCTAACTTATAAACATAATATATCATTCAGGTATTAAATTACAAAGTACATTTTATATTCTCTGTCAGCACAATTTGGATAGAAAAACAGATTGAGTAAAACAACTTATAAACTTATAAGAAAAAACATATATCAAATGTAAGTTATAATTTACCTTTGTGTGTTTTCTGAGTGAGCTGGCGTGAGAGTATGATTTATAGCAGTACATGCAAATGAATTGTTTGTCGGGTGAGTGGACACGTATGTGCTTTAATTTATCACTGCTGTTTGCGAAACATCTTTCGCAGGCCTCAAAAGGGCATCTGAAAGGTTTCACACCTGAAACAAAAGAAGATTTTAAAAATGAAATGATATCATGAGAATTAAAAATCCCTTCATGTAACAAAGAAAATATGGTAAAAGCGCCGGAATAACAAATAAAGTGTCACCTGTATGTGTCCTTTCATGAATTTTCAGGTTTTCCGCCCGTGCAAACTCTCTTCCACATCCGAAAGAGCACCGAAAGGGCTTTTCACCCGTGTGGACTCTCAGGTGATTGATCAATTGGTACTTGGCCTTGAATGGATTCCTTTGACGGGAACAATATTGCCATAAACATATGTAACTGGATTGCCCTGACACATGCTCCGCTGTCAGATGAGAGATGAGCTCCTTCATTGTGCAGTAGGTTTGCATACACTCCAGCCACTGGCAGGTGAACCTCGACATGTTCGTGTTCAAACTTGAGTTTGAGCCGTTGAACATAATACCTTCTCCCCGTATCTGACCATTCTGTGTGGTGTAAAGCTCTTCTGTTGGAGTCAAGTGTGTATAACCGTCCTCCACGACTGAAGAATACCCGTCCATACAGATTAAAGAATCATGCTGTCCCCAAGAAACTTCCAAAAAGCTCTTGTTACAATGCAAAAGATCCACGGTGGATGACATCATCTCTCCATCACAAATGCTATAGACATCAGCGGTATTATCCATAAACATCTGAAAACAAGAGCCGCACGCAGCTATCGTTTGTTGTAACAGGTTTCTGTAGGCCTCCAATTATAAGTTCACCGCAACGTTCATCCATTAATCTGTGCGGATCTCAACGGCTCTTTGATCTTTCTGAGAAAATGCTTAGATTGTGACGAGGCTTTGAAAGAAGGTGATTTATACAGTACCTTTAACACGTGGATGATTTCAATTCCCAAGACTCTCTTCGTTTAGCATCTGTGTCCTTGTCATTCATCAAAAAATAATTAATTAATCTGAAGACACAAGAGTATGTCTCAAACTCTTGGTTGTTTCATAGGACATAATACGCACTCAATATAACCTAAGCAAAGTGATCATTATACAAAAACCGACATCACCTTTGGGCATCCATTTGTCTAGCAGCATCCCAAATGAGGTCACATGTCAATACCAATGATAGTAAGTCACAATAGGATTCAAACATAGCTTTTTATTTAACTCAAACAGATGCAAGTGGCCATTTTATTCAGAATAAGACTCATAACATCGAGAGTCCTGCTTATATCAGTTGCTAATACAGTGGTTCTACCCATTCACTCTCAGGGTGAAAAACTGCATTATATGACGTATATCCATAGTGTTTTCTTGTCTTGTGTCATAGTGTGGAAATTGGAGAACTATTGTACAATTTACAAAACAAACGAACAAAACTGCCCAACAACAAAACGAGTATCAAAACCAAAACTTCTGCCTAAACTAAGATTTACGACTTGTACTTTAACAGTGATTACTCTACATATACAGTATACAGTAAAGCGTACCAGTGTTAAACTTCTCTGTATAAAAAAAAAAACAAGTAAATCCCAGTGGTTTGCTATTTGTTTAGGACGGACTGTAAACAGGATATAAACTTAAGGTATAAATTACGCACCTTATAAACACCACATATCCAGTGACTATTTGGTATAACAAAGCTTCTGAATTGCATAGGGAATAATCAGCACATGAGGTTTTCAATCAGTCATCCTCTTATCTGTTTTATAAAAGTGAGACATTTCAGCGATTCAGCCCTGTTTTATAAGAATAGCAGTAGTCCTCTTGATCTAACGCAGAACACGTACACCAATAAAACACATGTAAATAAATACGCAATAAGTTAACATTTAATAATAATAACATAATTAACAATCTAGTGATTTACCTGACACGCATGATCAATAACTCGTGCATATTCAACCTGATAACTAATTAATATCTTTGCAGTATTTGTAGTTTTTCCGATCCCTAAATGATAACGGATTCGGTTTTAATATTACCGTCTTTTCAAAATGTAATCTTGTCCACACATTAGCTGCTATTATTTGATAAAGTTTCTCTTTATTAAAGTATAATTGTGTTTTAAGCCTGTAGACGCTAAATATCCACACTAGGATGACATACTAACATGCACACAAACACTCTCTTTTTAATTCATGGTAAAATGGGGAGTTTGAGTCCACTATGTGTGGGAACCGGAGTAAAAGCAGAACATGTAACTGAAAAAAAAAACACTTAAATTCATTAATTCCTCCATATTACAAAAAACAAGAAGCAATTAAGCGCATCATAGTCATTTCTTCCTAATTACATCTAGAATTACACATATAACATTTTTTCTTATGTAATATGTTTTACAAAATACACCTGCTGTTATTTAAAAGTATTAGGGAGTTAAATGAGTGTTTTCATTTGGTTTTCACTCTTTCATTTAAAAAAATAAATAAGAGAGCGAAACAGTACTTTATGAAACATTCAAGCTTAGGATTCATTCAAACTACCCATGTTGGGATGAGCCTTTATGCTGATATTTCCACACAAAAAGCCCAACCTGTTATTATAATAATAAAATATCTTTTGGCAATGTATTCGGGATATTTGTGTAAATTTGATGAAACCCAAAACATACATAAAAATGCTCATGAACACTTTACGTTGGAATTCATTTTACACAAAATATGCTTCTAATTATTCCGAAATTTCGCCAAAAAGTACTGTAAAGATTCAGTTAAAGTATTACGAGATAAGAGGAGCATTGGCTACCAATACCAACATAATCAGAAAAACACAAATGCGCTGATGTCAACCAAAAGAGAAGACGGGCTCTCAGCCGCATCCCATCAAATCTTCTTACCAAAGCCTTCCTTCGTAGAGCGGTCCATTGTTCAATCTGCAGGGGAATGGTTGAGAGGTTGAAAGGGACCCTTAGCAAGCACAGTCCTTGTTGGAGCGCTGTGGCTGCTCATTAAGCTGAGGGCCCTGCTTGTTTCCGACGATGGACGGATCCACCGACTCCGCGTTCTCTGACATCCTGTCACAGATTACGTCCACCAGACGCTCAAATGCCTGCTTCACGTTGATGTTGTCCTTGGCACTGGCCTCAAAATACTCAAAGCCTGTGACAATCAAAAGCCTCAAATTAAAATAAGAGCGATAGGAAAACATCCTGCATATGAAAAAGTCTTGTTAATGCAAAAGTGTAAAAAAAAAAAACTCACCTAACTGTTCGGACAGCTGTCTTCCTCTCTCCGAAGCAACCACTCTCTCGTCTTCCATGTCACACTTATTTCCCACCAACAGCACTTGAGCATTGTCCCATGAATATGTCTTAATCTGGGTGGACCTAAGAACAATGAGAGGTCATTAGGAAAACACATTTGAACCGCCTAAATAATAAAAAACAGATAAATTCCCTTTCAAAAGGCTATTGACATTATGTCCTTGTGTACCAGTCATAACGTGGTAAAACAATAAGTGATAAAAACTCTTAATATATATATAACTTATATTATATAAATCTGTTTTATTTTAATAACTTAAAATATAACTCTGAGTTCTTATCCTAACCAGCTGCAACCAGGAAAAGTGCCATGATATTCTATCATTATTTTATGGAAGCTTGTTTCCGCCACAGAATGAAAAATAAAAAAGGTAATTGCGACTTTTTATCTCACAATTCTGACTTTATTTCTCAGAATTGCGAGATGTAAAGTCAGAATTGCGAGATATAAACTCAGAATTGCGAGATATAAAGTCAGAATTGCGTGTTATAAAGTCAGAATTGCGAGATATAAAGTTAGAATTGCTAGATATAAAGTCGCAATTGCGTGTTATAAAGTCAGAAATGTGAGATTTAAACTATTCTGAAGGGGAAAAACGTTAGTCTTTTTTTCCCCTTAGAATTAGCCTGATAACTCGCAATTGCGAGTATATATCTCAAAATTCTGAGAAAATATGTCAGAATTTCGACAAATAAAGTCGCAATTATGTGTTATAAAGTCAGAATTGCAAGATAAAAAGTCGCACTTCTGTCCTTTTTTCTCAGAATTGTGACTTTATATCACGCAATTCTGACTTCATATCTCGCAATTGGGAGATAAAAAGTCGCAATTATTATATATATATTTTTTTTATTCAGTGGCGGAAATAAGCTTCCATATTATTTGGTTCCATGTTCGGTTATAACGTATTAAGTAACGCAAGTTATGTAATCAGATTACTTTTTACAAGTAATTAGTAAAGTAACGCATTACTTTCAAATTTACAAACAAAACAGTTACTTTTTCAAAGAAGTCAGGCAAGTTAGTTTGTTTTCCCATTTATTGACTGACAGCTCTTCTGTCCCCATGTTGAGAGCAATCATGAGTACAGGGCAAAAGAGTTGTGTGAACATGATGGTTATTGTAGTTTTAGACTAAATGTGTAAAGAGAAGTTTTTTCTTCCACTGAAAGACTGATTTGTAAACCCTTTAGGTGAGGTTAAATTTTAAACAAAGAAAAATAAAAAAGAAACATAATATACTGTACAAGGAAGAATTGTTCACAATAAGATTCACAACATTCATTTAGAAAATAGGCAGGGTGTATTTTCATTCCATGCCAACTTTAAACATCACAGATGTTATGGCTGTCATCGTGTCATGTGTAAGCCTGGCTAACGCCAGACCATGTCTCATTTAGAATGAGTTGTGGTCTGGAAACCACATGTTCATTTTCTCATATTTGAGGCATGGTTTACAAACGCCCAGAGCCTTATTGGGTGCTACGAATGTCTATCAAATGCGCCTGTGCTCCCTCCCTGTTCTGTGATTGGTTCCCTATCTCAGGGGAAAATTTGGTTCATGGTGTCCAGGCTGCCTAGCAGTGTGAATAAAATCACCCTGCGGCAATGCATGGGGAAACCCAGGCGGCTTAACCCAGAGACAATTTATATAGAGACATGCCACTTCCTAAATCCTCAAAACAACTATATTGAGAAAACCCGTAATGCCAAAGATGGCGGTTGTATGCACATGTCCCGCCCCTCCTGCTGGAAAGCCAATCGTCTGCTTTTAGCAGTCAAGCCGGGAAACATTTAAGCCTATCGTCTGGTTCCACTGAAGCATGCTCACAGTTGATGTCTGCGACAACGGAGACGAGAACCCTTGCGCATGCGTAGTAAATGTATAACCTGTGGGGAAAAGGTCATTTTAAACCTTATTTTGGGGCAAAGTCATCAAACTTCTTCAGTGATTTTTATTATAATTTACTTTTTTTATTTTTTTTTTATGATTGGGCATGGGACACAAGCTCAAGTTTGATCACCCTGTAGCTGGCCACCTTTGATGAGGGTGTCTAGTGTTGAAAGGCCGAAACACCCCCTGATTCAAAGGCACATTACTGATGATGTGTCCCGAAATTTAAATCTTTCCCATGGCTGAAGTACAGATCCCACGCCACTCTCAACATCAAGGCAAAACTCATGTGCATACCACCTATTGGCACAATGGACAGTTTTCCATCACGTCCCGTGTTTATGATTCTGTTTCTAAACATGTAGTTTTTATGTCCCAGTGAATCAGGGAAAGTGCAGTTCTGAATCTCTGCCCATTCATTTAGATACAGTAGGAGCCTGGTCTTGTTGGTCTGAAATAGCTGCCCGGAGTGGCAGGACTTGCCTAAAAGGACTTTGCTTAACTATAATCACATCACATAAGTTTGATGCAAATAGTGTATGCTCTCAGGACAGCCTGTATTTTGACAGAAACTATGTCTTTGCAAATGTGTCAATTTTATCGTACCAGTCCTGAACGGCATTAAAGGAATCCTCATTGGTGATGTCATACATAAGAATGAAGCCCATAGCTCCACGATAGTATGCAGTGGTGATGGTCCTGTACCTTTCCTGCCCAGCAGTGTCCTGAAACATACAATAGTTGGAATAAAAATGTCTTGTGGTTTCTATTAATAAAACAGCCCCTTAACCAAAATCAATGAAATGTAGCTCAAATCAAAGCTTAAAGGAGTAGTTCACTTAAAAAAAAAAAAAAAAAAAAAACTTCTGCTGATAATTTACTCACCCCCATGTCATCCATGATATCCATGTCATTCTTTCTTCAGTCAAAAAGAAATTAAGGTTTTTGATGAAAACATTCCAGAATTTTTCTCCATATAATGGACTTCAATGGGAACCAAACAGTTTAAGGTCCAAAAGACAGTTTCAGTGCAAACTGTTCAAAGGGCTTTAAACGATTTCAGACGATGAATAAGGGTCTTATCACGCGAAAAGATCACTCATTAAAAAAAAAGAACAAAGTTTAAGTTTTATAAGCTCAAATGGTCACCTTGCTCTGTTCTGTGATGCGCGTTCTTGACTCTCCTGTTCGAACTCGTTTATCAAAATGAACTAATCTTTTTTCGAGTCATTTGGTTCATTCAACGAACAAAATGAACAAGTTGACTCAAGTCAACTTGTTGAAAAGATTCGTTCATTTTGATGAACGAGTTCGAATAGGAGAGTCATGAACGCGCACCACAGAACAGAACCTTATTGGTTCCTATTGAAGTCTATTATATGGAGAAAAATCCTGGAATGTTTTCATCAAAAACCTTAATTTCTTTTCAACTGAAGAAAGAATGACATGGATATCTTGGATGACATGGTGGTGAGTAAATTATCAGCAAAAAATTTTTCAAAAGTGAACTACTCCTTTAAGACTCATGTAGAAAGAAAAACTGAAAATTACAGGATGATTTTAGAGATAAACTCATCACCCATATTTGGAGCTTTATCCTCTTATCATTCCGATAGATGGTCTTCACTTTGAAGTCTATGCCGACAGTGCTGACAAAAGCGGGTGTGAAGGAGTCATCAGCATAGCGGAACAGGAAACTGGTTTTTCCAACACTGCTGTTACCAATGATCAGGATCTTAAACATGTAATCAAAGTTCTGATCCGTAGACTCTTTTTGTCCATATCGAGCATCATTAGCTGAGGCCATCTGCAACAACAAAACAGATTTACTGCCAAAGAAGGTCATTCTTAAATTCTTAAAAAATAAAATTTTATTTTCAAACCATACATAATAATATTATTCTATTCAAATTAACATGAAACAGCCTTTGAGTCAAATTTCAGACAAATTTGAGTATCAGTCCTAAATCCTTTTTAAGGGGGTACCTAGGGGCTTTCTCGTCCTTCTTGGTTTTGATTCCATGTTTGTTGCATTAAAACCAACATTCAAACCACCACTCACTTAAATAGACATGGTAGCAATCAGTGTAATTGGAAAGAATGGAACATTTTTTTATCATTCTAGGCCTATGAATAATTTAACATAATTTATTAAAAAAAAGAACTTATAAACATACAAAATATGTGTTGTATGTGCGTGTGTGTGTGAGAACAGTCAAATAGGAAAAATTACACATGTAGTGAAGGCTTAGAATAGACCCTATCCTTAAAATCACTCTTTCCCTTCTCAGACAACCAACCAATCACAGTCTTCAAAAGATTGTGGCAATGGGGTCTTCCTATGTAAACGTTTTAAAGCTAAATTAAGAGTTTTCTGAGAGGATTCTTTGAATCTTTATGAATACGGACCCACTTTAATTGTCTCTGGGAGACACGACCAGAGAAAAACCTGTCCTTTATGATAATTTATCATCTGCTAAATGAATAAATACAAATGTAAAATAAATGGGAGTTGGCTACTCATGTGCATTATTAATTAAACAGATGTGTAAACATAATAAAAATGCAGTATTTTAGACAGTTATGGTTAAAGTAAAATAAAAACAGTTGGTTTTGCAATACTAATTCAGAGGTAATCAATCAATAAAAATTTCAAAAATGATCAAGCAACCAACAGCATTATTTTTAGACAATTGAGACAGGCTGACCCGTTTTTTTTTTTTTTTATTATTATTATTTTTTTTTTTAAATAATAAAAATGGTAATTCAGTATTGCAGATTAACAAAACCACATAATATATGAGAGCAGGTTATTTTAGTGAACACAGAAAAACAATGATCTGCACAACTGAAATAGAAACAAATAACAGCAGGATAATGTCTTTCCCAATAAACTAAACTGAAGTCCTTCTCGTGTATTCTCCAAACATTTACCATGGAAGCAATTAGGACAACTGACATAAATACAAGTTTGATTACATCCATTAATACAAGGTTGATTCATCATAAACGGTTCTTGGCAATTATTTTTTTTGCTGTTTGCTTAATTACAATACAACTTCAAAGCGAATAGAGGGTGACTGGCACTATCCCTGTATCCTTCGGGATTGAGCTAGGCGGTCAGTAGCCATGGATTTTAAAGGTTTTGTGCCTGCTAAACCCTGTGCTTAGCTTGTCAGGAACTGAGCACACGACGTTGTTAGGGAAAGATTATGGAAATATATTTCCATTTTCTAGTGGAAGACCAAGGGGTTTCCTTCCCATATAGGGGAAAAACAACCTCTCTTAATGTTAATTTCTGGTTTATTCCGTCAGTAAGATAATTAACCAGGCCACCTGAGCAGACACATCAAGCCTTAATTCAAACACATGGTTCAGGCTTAGCGTACTAGATAGATAGGAGCAGGACACCGTTGCGTTTGAGAAGTGCTGCTACGTTCACAATAAACGGCAGCCTGTGTGAGCGAGTCTGCTGGCTGCTATATGGCTGATAATGGTTAAGTCCGTAGAGCTCTTGTTAGCATCTATCCGCTTAACACACGGACTGATTTCCATATTCATTCGGGTCAGTGAGTGACTAACACCGCATCGATCGATCAAACAAACATATAGATAGCATCCATCATAACTGCTAGCGAGCGACTGTGTGTCAAAAGCCAGTTGACATGTTTTAGCATGCAGCGATGGATTATTATACAGCAGAGGCTGTTTATGAGCCACCCCAGTTAGCGATGTCAAATGTAGGTTACGCTGTTTTTAAATTAAAACCACTAATTTCCTAAAGTTTCTATACAACTTCTTGGATCATTTCGAAATAAAAGCAATATTAAGCGTCATGGTGTTTCTAGAGAAAGCCCAGCTTACCGTAAGAGGAGGTTTATTTGGTGTGGTTTGGATGCAGTTCCCAGGCTGTGCACCTGCGCTCGTGCTTTCGTCACTCGACGGTGGTCAGCTGGGGGGCGGGGCTACACAATGATTGACATGTCACTTTAGCGATTGTCATGTCTTCTGGATGCATGAAGATTTGTAGACCCAGTTTCACAGACAGGGTTTAGATTAAGTCAGGATTATGTTTTAGTTCAGTTAGGACATTAAAGTAGCTTTTATAAACGTGCCTTTTTATAAACCAGGGGTTATTTTTATAGACTTTTTAGACGTTTTTGTTTAATATCAGGGAAGCCCATTTCATAATAATTTTGTAGCCTACAGTTCATAATTTCAATGAAAAGTCTTGATATCATAAAATTGAAATAATGAAATTATGACAAAAGTTATGAAAGATATACTAACAGTTTAGACCTTTTATGTCATTATCCGGATTTATTTTTGTCAAAATGTCTCAATTATTTGACTTTTCGATGTCATATTTATGGTTATGATTCTATAATTTCAACTTCTTATTTTACAATTGAGTTTTTTCATAATTGTGACTTTTTATGCCTATTCTTTAAGAAGGGGTTTTCTCATGTGGGAAAAATGGGCTGTCTTCCATATAACACAAAGAGTCCAGCTTACTAATATTTCTTTGTTTATTGGCATTGGGAACAGGAAAACAAATCACAGCCACATTAGTAACAGCGTTGTAGTGGTAAACAGTACTGTTGGGATTGTCAGATCTGCGACAGAATGAGACCAAACACAGGTGTGCGTCGTACAGTCAGGCGAAACTTTGCGTGGCCACTCAGCATTTCTTTCACCACACGAAACATTGCCGTTAAAAGCACAGACTGACATTAAAATGAACAAATAGCCAATAATTAAAAGCCCCGTTTACATACAAAGATTCACTGTCTCCAATATTAAAATTCATACCATGGTATAAAAAGGACACAAAAAAAATCTGACTTACAATGAGCACATTGCGCCAGAAAGACTTATGAAACCTGTTATTTATCATGAATAATCTTAAATAAAAGTTTGACAAAACAACAGTTTTGAATATAGAAGAAAGACAACTCAATTATCCAATCAGTACGTTACTGACAGTAGTAGATGTCATGATGGAAATTAGCCAGTGGCACAATGGAAATTACAGTACAGCATGGATCATGCTTGCTTGGCACTTGTACTGTCATTGGCTATGTCCCTGTGAAGAGCAGAGCACTGATCAATCGCCAAAAACAACAGAACATAAACGGTCTGGCACGGAAAACGAACTTTGGCTTTAGAGTTAGACAACTGAATTTCTCTTGCAGCGTTCAGCTCTTGTTTCAGAACAAATTGCTCACTTCTGTTTAGACATAGATTTGTACAGATGTTAATATACCTCATATTTTTCAGTGTGACCAGCACAGAAACAGAGAGAGAAAGTACAGATGTGGTTTAAGGACACAGATCACTTCCTACACAGCTAATCTGGGTTTCCGTTCTAGCTCAGCCTTCCAGAGACCACCTTGCAGGGTACGTACACATGCTGGTTACCCTGCTGACCACAGCCAGTCATAGTCTTCTGAACGCTAATAATGACTCCAGCCCTTAATGATGGAGCAACGTTTGGTAATGACAAAGATGTCTACCTAAGCAAGCCAATTTAAAACAGTGAGACACAACGTATTAATGCTTACGTTCATGCTTTGGATGAAGCAGAACAGAAAAAGAAACGAAAAATAAAGAAGCATATGTAAACCATGTGAATGTCATAAATTAAAGCAGCAATACTACAAATAAATGTGAGGAGGGTTTTAAGTTAAAATTATAATAGTCAAATGAGTTTCATCTGTGCAAAGGAACAACAATACAAAGCCATGGTGTTCAGCTGGAGTGGTAAATCCTATAAATGTGGCTCCAGTTCCACTATTAAGCACTAGGTGGCGTCACATACAAATACAAAAGATAACAATCATGGCTCGACTTCAGTCTACAGATGTTTTTAGCGGTCCAAGGAAGACACCGTGGGTACCCTCAAGCTGTTTGCTACATGAAAGCAATCGTTTCGTTGAATCCTGAGATGTTCTGTTGTGTTAAGGTTAGGTTGTTTTTGTTCAGCTAATAATAGATCAGCTTTAAGTCAACAGTGTATCTTTTAAAAAACATTTTAGTGCACATACGTCTCACATAAAAAGTGTCCTGTTTATCAATCAATATGTTCGGACGGCTCTTAAAGGTCCACTTGTTTGTTAACTTTAAACCTGGGATGTCACAGGAAGACATTTGAGTACATTTTCTCTGTCCATACAACACAGGCAGTTTCCAGCATCCCGAAGCCATCAAACTGTTGAGAACGTTTTAAGAAAGCTTCATGGTTTGACAGTCTGTAGAGTAGGAGCTCTCTCCAGTGCAAGGTGACTACTGTATAAAAAAAAAAACGTCCCATGGAAGCTTTCCCACCTATCCTTTGCTCTCCTGCACTGCGTCGCCTCTGCCCGAGGAAGCTAAGAGAACGGGATGGAGAGGGATAGGGAGGTGGTGAAGAGGAGGTACGAAAGAAACCGAAAACTAAACGAAAAAGTGCACTAGTGTTATGTTCCCAGGCGCAGGCACGATACGCTTTTCCCTTCTTGGTCAAGTTCTCTATCTTCATCTTCACTGTCTGGCGGCTCACCAATCTTAAAAGACATTGTCCTGCAGCCAGGGGAGCGGGCGGTCAGGTTGGTGTGATGTGTGCGGGGAGCCGAAGACGGATGTTTGCTTTCTGGATCTGTCCAGGAGGAATCCTGTGCAATGGTGGGGAATTCTTCGTCCACCGGACTTTCAACGTCAGACTCCCCTTCCTCTTCTAAGGTCAGTTCGAATTGGAATTTCTCCCCCGCTGCGGCGATGCCTCCACCCATCGCTCCCATCCCAACCACACCGCCCTTTTCCTCAGGGGTGGAAGTGGGACTGTGAGGGATCATGCTCTGGTACCACTCACGATTGTCCTCCAGCGTGTCGAGAATCTCCTGGGCATCAGGGTGAACCAGATCCGCCCAGGTCTCCCACAGTGGGTGCACGATGTAGTCAATAAAGCCCACCTGATGGATGAAGCATACACAAAAAGTGGATTTTCACTAGTGTTGGTGGAACTCGTGTTACTTTCAGGTATACTAGTTATTATGAAAAATAGATATATCCACCCCTCTCTCTCTCTCTCTCTATAAATAAAGAGTTCAGATGCAAAAGCCTCTAAATGCCATTTGAAATTTTCTTCTTTAATGATGATTTTTTATCAAACTTGTATATTTAAGTTCAGTAATTTCACTTAAATAACAATTAATAGGTAATCATCATTGCCATTTAAGTGAAATCACTGAACTTAAATATACAAGCTTGATAAAAATGATCATTCTAGAAGAAAATTTCATATGGCACTTAGAGGCTTTTGCATCTGAACTCTTCATATATATATATATATATATAATATATATGTATATACACACTTTATATACTATTTTTATTATGGTCCTCCAGAGTGCTGATCACGAATCAGTGTTATTTTAGTATTATTTATGTATTGTTATAGTCTACAATAATATTTTTAAAGACTTTTTTTTGTTTATTTACATTTTATATTTTTAAGTTTCATTTGAGTTTGTTTTGTTTAAGATTTCTGTTTAGCTTTAATTAATTTTACATCCGTTTAGATAAATAACTTTTTTTTTTAATTGGTTGCCAAAGCAACATTTCTAATTGTCGTTTTAGTTTTTTAATGTTACGTTTTTCATCTTATATTTATATTTTATTTTAGCATTATTTCAATCAACATAAATGATTTTTAACAACACACATTTCGATTACTAAATATATTTTATTATTATAATATAATTAGGGCTGTCAAGCGATTAATCGCATCCAAAATAAAAGTTTGTGTTTAAATAATATATGTGGGTGCACTGTGTATAATTATTTTGTATATACACACACACACACACACATAAATACACACACATGCTTGTATATTTAAGAAAAAAAATTATTTATATATAAAATATTTAAATTTATATTTTTAATTATATATAAATCTATATACCGTATATACATGAAAATATTTCTTAAATATATACAAGCATGTGTGTGTATTTATATAAATAAAATAATTATGCACAATTCACCCACATATGTTATGTAAACACAAACTTTTATTTTGGATGCTATTAATCGCGATTAATCGTTTGACAGCCCTAAATATAATATATTGTATTTTATATTATATTATAATTTAACAAAACTATTATAAAACTATAGATAAATCTAAATAACAAAATGAGGCCCGAATTCTTCAGAGACTTTTTGAGGCCTATCATTGATTTACCCCTCACTCACCTGTGATTTCTCAATGGAAGCATTGTGTTTGTCACACATGGGGCTGATCTCCATGCCCTTGTCTCTCTCTCGGTCCCCCTGAGTAAAAAACTCCACCATGATGCGATCGGTCCACTGACGGTACAGCTCCAGGGGCTTTGTTGGGTTGCTCAGGTCAGCGCAATGCACCATGTTCTGAAGAACCTAAGCATTTGATGATACATTTTTAATGATGGACTTTTAATTTGTATCAGTATAAAATGGCTTATTGTGCCACGAAAGCTGAAAGTATACCTGTATGCGATCAGAATAGTTGTCTAACAATAGCACACCCAGACTTGTCACCTTCTTGGTCTCGACCATGGTCTTGAGATCCGCTAACAGGTTCATATGCTTTGACATATCAGTGGCTAGTACCTGTAACGAGTTAAATACATGATAAATAAATCAAACCAAATGTTGATTGTAGTTCTCAGGCTTGGACCTCTTCATCATAGCCTCAAAGATTTGCCAATGCCTCCATTTCCTCACCATGTCAATGACCATTTTGCGTAGAGACTGCCTCTGTTTCTTGGTCAGGTTCTGGAAAATGTCACAGTTTTCTTCCTGCAGCAGTTTGAAGCCAACAGCCAGGTGGTGGTTCTCCAGAACAGAGGAATCGTTGTACATGAGAGCCAACTCTGAGTCTGAAGAAAAGTATTAGGCTCTTAGTAAACAACACAGTGTGCAACCACAATGACAAGATGCTGTTGCTCAGCCGTGGCCACTCACTTGTGTTGATGAGGAACTGGTTGGACACTCCAGGGTGGTCCACGTCATGTATTGCACTAGCAAACATTGCGGCCAAGATCTCAAGGTCGGTGAACACAGCCTAGCAAAACAGAATACCGCAAATGAAAAGCCTCGCTTCAGAGACTAATGAGCAGATGATGAAAAGGGAGTTGATTGAGACAAACCTCCAGGGCAGGGGTGGACAGCAGGACATTGGTGGACTGGACCACGTCAGCTGCATGGATGCTGTTATGGTATGACACATCTGAGTGATAGTTCTCCTCCAAAGCCATCATGTAGGTAATGAATGTGTCTACGGGAATTTTAAAGGATTTCAACAGGTCTCTTTCCTGTGGATTACAGGTTTAGGACACTTGTTAATGTCATGGTTTAAACAAAACTGCACGAGTTTTCTATTCCTCGTTTTGTACCTGAAATGTTGTGTACATCGCTACTGTTAGCGGTCGGTTGCCAGAATACTTGGATATCTTGAAAATATCCACACCCCATTTGTCAAAGTCCTCTAACTCCTGCAAAAGGGAGTTGGACGCAATTAAAAACACCATTGGACTTTGTTATAATTTTGAGATTTTAGTTGCTAATAGGGTGTGAGAGCTCACCTTGGCCAGCAGATCTTCCTGGTCAGTGCTGATGCCAAAGCGTGGGATGCTGGAAGCTGCGACGCTGGAGCTGTGTGTGGGTTTCTTCACTCCACTGATCTGAGACATGAGCCGCTTTTTCTTCTCCTTCTCTTTGGTTGATGGGGACATAATCTCCATATCATGTTGCTTTTCTGAAACACAGATTCCTTTTTATAACTACACACAATGACACAGCTCATTAAATTAGCACTGAAAACCTGGATAGTTTCAAAAATAGAATTTAAACCTGAAAATAAATAGCACAATTGAAGAGTTCAGATGCAAAAGCCTCTAAGTGCCATTTGAAATTTTCTTCTAGAATGATAATTTTTATCAAGCTTGTATATTTAAGTTCAGTGATTTCACTTAAATGGCAATGATAATTACCTATTAATTGTTATTTAAGTGAAATTACTGAACTTAAATATACAAGTTTGGTAAAAATCATCATTCAAGAAGAAAATTTCAAATGGCATTTAGAGGCTTTTGCATCTGAACTCTTCAATTTAAGATTTAAAACAAAGAAATGTTATGATGTAAAATGATTTTGAGTCACTAACCAAATCTGAAGTAAATTTGTGACATTGGCCATTTTAGGTCAGCATTTTCTGCTTCCATTGATGCACAAAATGCTCTTCATGCTCAAATTCTCATTCTCGACATTCTTTAATCATGCCGGATAACATGGATTTGAGGAGTCCATCTCAGCTTGAGTGAATGTTGTTTTTAAAACAGTGTTGTGACTGTTAACTAAAACTATTAAAATGTCTTTGTTAATTGTAATAAAGCTGAAATAAAATAAGATATTACATAGAAAAGTTAAACAAAAAAAACCTTGCAAATTAGTTCAATAAACTTAAAAGCCAAAAGTTATATAAAATAAATATATTTATAAAATTGTGGGGGGAAAAAATGTTATATAAAATTAATAATATTTTCATGCTTTGCCAACAGTATAATCTAAAATGAAAGAAATATATATATAAAAAGGATTTTCACAAGTCGATTTTACCTAAGAAGGTGCTTGAGATGAACTCTGAGACTTGGTTTCCTGACTTGCTAGTCTCTGACAACTGGGTTAGCTCTCGATTCAGCATCCTTTTGAACTGTAGAACAAGAAAACAGGTACACTTTGAGAATCAGCATCTCCAACTTTCATTTTAATAAATCCATGCAATTCATTTTAATATTTCCATTCAAAGCCCAATCGAATCTTTTGCGATAAAAACTACAAATATGTGCAACATGTTTTATTAAGAAATGTTAAGAGGTGAAACATCACATGACTTAGATGCTCAGATCTGAATATTGCTACATTCAGAGTGGTAACATCCTTTCATTCAGCTGCTACAGGCATTCATGATTAGGGGCTGGACCAAGCAGGAGGAGTGCCTTATATCTGTGTAGTGCTATTATGTAATCATGCACAAGGTTTCAGAATGAAACACTTCTGACTGAGGCAGCAAATGTACAGTAGTACTGTAGGAGCCACACACCCACTGTGACACCAGAAACACACCCAGAATGACATCCTCACATCCAACACCAAATCTGTAATTTATAGAGTGTCAACATGAGCATCCCTTCCAACTTCAGATAGAAACAATGCAAGAGCTTCTTCCCAGCATGATGCTGCCAAATGAAAGTGCACAGCTGAACACAAGCCTTACCTGAACATACATCCACGACAAAGAGAGCAAGTAACTGACGTCTGGCATTTCAGCACCAAATGAAGCTTGAACAAAACAGAAGATCCCTTCGGCCGGTGCACATGCTGCAGACACGTTCTGTGCTCCAGTCCAGACTGCCCGAGCTCCCCGGTTCCACAGGTCATGATGTGGCGGCACTACAGAGCCAGCACCGGGAGCTCCAGCTGCCATGGGCTGCACCTGTGGCGGGCTGAGAGCGTGTGCCGCTGACTGGAGCAAGTTTGCATCGCTGCCGCATGCTCTGCTCTCCTACTCTGCCTGATTCATGTGTAAACACAGAGATCAGGCTCCTCCCAGCAGCCCCCTCTCTCCCTACTCGCTGCCCCTCGCCAGCCAATCAGTTTGGTTTTGCATCAGAGACTGGGTCAGGCTGGGAGGCTTCTGATTGGCTCTCGGCTCCACAGCACATGCAGGGCCTGGATTGGGTGGATACAGGGGGCTGGGGCTGCACCATGTGCACTTGCTTTGAAGTCGAGCCTCTTCATGCTTTGCATCTATTGTCATGTTGTTGCTGGTTATTAATACTTATAACTCATGCAGCTATTATTTATATAGTATATTGATTTAGATGTTCAAATGTTTGGGGTCATTAAGGTTTATTCATTAAATTGTTCAAAAGTGACATTGATCATGTTGCAAAAGATTTCTATTTCAAATAAATGCTGTTTTTTACTTTCTATTCATCAAAAATCATGAAAAAAAAGGTTCCCATGAAAATATTAAGCAGCACATCTGATTTCAACATTGATTATATTAATAATAATAAAAGTTTCTTGAGCAAAAAATCAGCATGTTAGAATGATTTCTGAAGGATCATGGGACACAGAGTAATGATGCTAAAAATTCAGCTTTGCCATCAATGGAATAACATTTTAAAGGAAATTTGAAAAGATCTTAAAATAAAAAAACAGCTATTTTAAATTGTAATAATATTTCACAATATATATATTTTTTTATCAAATACATGCAGACATAGTGAGCATAAGCATATTTTTTATTCCAAAAATAAAAAATCTAACTGAACCAAAACTTTTAAATGTTAATGTACAATTCAGTCATTTCATTCATTAATTTCATTATTTATCAGAACAAAAATTAAAATTCTGTTATCATTTATTCACCCTCAAGTTGCTGCAAACCTGTATGAGTTTCTTTCTTCTGCTGAACACAAAGGAAGATATTTGGAAGAACGATTGGAACCAAACGGTTGTTTGGCACCATTGACTTCCATACTAAAAATAAAATACTACAAAATATCTTCCTTTGTGTTCAGCAGAAGAAATAAACTCAGGTTTGCAACAACTTGAGGGTGAATAAAAAAATGACAGAATTTTCATTTTTGGGTGGAGTATCCCTTTAACTCATCAAAACAAAGTGCTTAAGTTTACACAGAATATTTGATTGTTAATAGAGTATTTATTTTACATGAATAAAAACTTTATAAAAATAAAAACACATATCTATAAATATGTTGCAGTTTAGCTCGCCCCATGACTTGCCATTCCTACCAGATCTAATATATAATTTGGCACTGCCAGTTTTGATGACAAAAAGTATTAAATTAACTATAAAATTCAGTACTTTTATTTAAACCTAAATTTTTTGAAAGGTTTTTGCATGCTCAGTTATATATATATATATATACACACACAGTATATTTTACACCTCAGCCAGAGCAGAGTGATTGCTGAGTGGGTATTAGAATATTAGTGATGTTACTGAGAGTGAAAACACACAGACATGTGTTCATATGTGCACATGCGTGTCTGTGAGAACATGTATCTGTGTGCACGTGGCTGCTGTGTGGGTGGGCCAAACACACCTCACATAGGCTATGAAACCCCCAGCAGTAATGGGGGAAACAAAGAGGGTGGGGGATCAGATTCATCCATGACTTCACTCTCATTCACATTTTTCAGCACAAGATGTGGTCGGGGGAGGGGAGAGATTCAAGACATGCATGACTCCCGTTCCAATGTGTAATTCATATGGAGGATATGTTAAGCATTTGGCTGCTGTTTTCAGCAAGTGCTGATGAATTGTGTTTGAGTGTTATTAGTGGGGTGTCCCTGGGTGACAATGGGGATGGGCCTTTTATTTTAGTAGATCTACCTTGTTGGATGCCATCTCACTGACTGAGTGGCGTGTCTTGAGAGTCTCAAGCTGTTCGAGACACCAGTCCAACTCATCCAGAGTCTCCACTGCCAGCTTCTGAAACGGCTCCTCTGCAAAATACAGTTTCATGTATTCATGGCCACTGAAATACGTTATATTATCATATGTAATACAAAGAAATGTACTGTTTTGCTTTTCTACAAGAGATTGTTGTCTAACCTGGTAGGCTTGTCTTGCACATGGATGGTGGGTAGTTTCCAGTGGACCTCCTGTATAGATTCATAAGATCAAGTATGACTTAAAAAGCATTTAATCAAGGATTACAAAGTCTCCTAGGACTGCAAAAGGGCTTACTTGCTCGGGACACGGTCTTGCTGATGGGTCAAAACGGCAAAGTTGCTCCGCACTGTCCTCAAGCTGGCAAGGACCTATGAGGAGAACATTAATGTAAGTCCAAGCCAAAAACACATCCTTAGTAGTTTTGGTTACTCCAACTTACTTACAGCTTCATATTTTAGCATTGCAAAAATAAAAAAAATAAATCAGTTATCAGTATTTTTGATTGTATTATTATTGCCCAGCAAAATCGAAAAGCAAATCAGCGCAATATACTTTCAACACCTTTTAAAGAATGATATATATATATATATATATATATATAGGCATTTAAAATTTTATATATATATACACATATAGGCTATATATAAATATATAGGCATTTTAAATTTTATTATAACACATCGAATGAAATTATTAATATGAAACAGTTTATTGATAAATATATATAATATAATAAATATATATAAATATATATTGTTTTACCAATGTTTATATATTATTACTTGCAAACAAGAATAACACTGATTAATAAATTTTTGGAGTGAGTGAAAGAATAAATGTTACATAGAGAGGTGACCTAGTAAATGAAAGATTTGCTTAAAAATCCTGGTTTGTCCTAAATTCTGCAGCTCATTTGGAGTTTCAAAAGGACATGAAGGGTATCTGATTTCCAAAGCCATGCAGATTTCTCATCTGTCAGCATCCATATCGACAAATGCGGTATTGGATTCCTTGCCTGTTTTGTAAACTGAGTACAGTGGTGACGCAAATCCCACGTAAAGTAAGCTGCATAAGAGCGGAAGGGCTGTTCCCGCCAATGCCAAAGGCAGCACACTCCACTAACACAAAAAACAACTCGCTGCTGAATATTAGGAGATTAATCTGTCTTTAAAATATAGGGGGTGCAGAGTCAAACTGCCATGTTCCTAAAAACGTGTGGTCATCTGAAACCACATGATGCAAAGTCTCTAATTGCCTATTAATGTCAGACTGTGCAAGGTATTCATTTTCATGACCCACTCTACTACTAACCTGTGCGAATGGTGTAACTATCATGTCTTCTCCATGTCTGTAAGAGAAAAATACATTAACAAATCACAAATCAAACTCAAAAAACGACAAACTGGAAAAGACAGCTCTTTAATCTCCCAATAATAAAAGGAGGCACATTAAATGACTTAAGGATCAGTGAAAAAGAATGACTAAGACTTTAACCGTGGAGAATTAAGGATGTGGTCGGCTTTAGGTTACAGCACACCATCATTCAGAAGAGCAAGAGGGCGGCTTTTTATTAACATGCAGTTTGAATGGAAATAAAGAAAACAGCTCAGCATAAGGAAGATACCTCAGACTCTCCAATGGGACATTAGAAATCCGACATTAAAAGCTTATGGAAATACGTAATAAGAATATAGATGGGTTCAGCGTGGTTGGACAGGGTGTGTCATGCATGTGTATTTGAGGAGCAGCAGGAGAGAAGTCGAACTAGGGAACACACTGGGAGTTGTGCCTTTATTCATATATTCATATGCCGATCATTCGTGGTGGTAAAAGGGACAGAAGCTCTGAGGTGAGACACTAGGAGAGAGAACCGGCTTGGATCCTGTAATGGAGAAATGCAGGACAGCCCTTTCAAGTTAATATATTTCTCTCCTCACCGATTGAGCCAGTTGACTTCCCAGTGCTTCAAACTCTCTTCCCTTTGAAAAGACAACAAGAGTTGGTGACCTGCTGTTAATTAAGCACACTAGACTAGTTTATATCGTCCCAACAAACACCAGCAGTTGGAGGGGTTTGTGTTCACCCTGTTGGTGATTTTTTGGGGCGGTGTGAACCAGTCTTAAGGTGTTTCGATTTGGGCGACTAGCTTTGACGCAAAGTGGAAAAATAAACTGCAGAAAAAAAAAAACAAGAATGTGTTTTTTTCCGACTCCGACTTTGTGAAATCCCAGCAAACCAGAGCTGACATGCAAGCGTGCTCAGATGGAAAGAACAGCTGGAAGTGGTAATAATAAGGAGTTTTTAACCAGTGCCTTGGATTTTCCAAAATGGCTGAGCAATATGATTTGATGTAATACACTATTAAAATGGTGTGTCTTGGGAGAACTGTGTTTCAGACATAATCAACCAGCTGGAGTAAGCCACATCTGTTATGAGGCAACGTTTACAGTCCTAATTAACAGAACTCTTCCAGCCACAAAACACTGTAGCTGAAGTACACACTTGTGCAGTTTGTGACACGTGAAGCTTGCAGTGAATCAGACAAAATGTACATGAAAACTGAGGTTGGAAAATTAAAAAATTTGGGGGGAGTAAGATTCTTGTGCTCACCGAGGCTGCTTTTATTTGATCAAAAATACAGTAAGAACAGTAATATTGTGAAATATTAATACAATTTCAAGTACATGATTTCTGTTTTAAAATATAATTTATTCCCTTGATGACAAAGCTGAATAATCAGCATCATTACTTCAGTCTTTAGTGTCACATGATCCTTCAGAAATCATTCTGATATCGTGATTTGCTACTAAATAAATATTTCTCAGTGTTTATTATATTTATATTATCAGTGTTGTGCTGCCTAATATTTTGAAATTGTGAGATTTTTTGTCAAGACTCTTTGATGAATAGAAAGTTCAAAAGAACGGCATTTTTGTTAAATAGAAATCTTTTGATACATTTAAAATACAAATTTCTTAAAAAAAAGATTACAACAAAACTTTTGAATGGTAGTGTAAATTAAAAACTTTTTTTTTTTAAAGTTAGTTATTAAAAAAAAAATGTGATTTTTTCTACTCAGAGAAGCCTTCGTAAATGCATTTAGTATGAGATTTTAGTATGAGATATTAGGGGATCATAAATGAGACGAATGATACTCACAGCTCACTGGCAGTGGATGAGTTTCGGGACATGGCCTTGGGTGAAAGGTCAAAGTCGGAATCCGAGCGATACAGGAATGACTCCCGCCGCTGACTGTGAGGGAAATTGGCCGGTAGCACACGGCTGGAGCCTGGACTGGCCTGGGACTCCAGAGGACTGCGACCCACCGACAGCCCATTCTCAACATCAAAACTGAGGAAAGAGAAACAGAAAGAAAGATGAACAACTTACCTTGGATAATGTATTAACTTTTAATTTGCCATTTCTACACTCCTTTCAAATAAATTGTATTGTCACTGAGACCTTCTGAGATAAAAATGGTTTGACACAGATGTGAGACACTTCCTGCATCAAAGTATATCACAGTCTCTGTGATCTCCAGACAAACACAAGGATACTTTTCAATACCTCACTAATATCATGCCAGCAGCTCTGATACTACAGTGAAGTCTGAGACCACTAGTGAATACAGTTTTATACATTATTTAATTGTAATATATCACAAGTTTGTGTAAAACTTACCAATCATGTAATCAAATAGGAATACATCAATACTGAAATTTTGTTATTTTCAGAAACTTTATTATTTTTCTATTATTTTACATCATAGGCTTTATCTATTATTAAGTTGTAGGTTTTTAATTCAATATTTTCAATGTGAACTCATATTCTTAAACACTGATGTATACAGCAACACTGGCAGAATGTCAAAACTGCTACATCTTTCGACCTCATTCCACAGAGTACGTCAGTTATAGTGAAAGTGAATGAGGGAAATGCATTTGAGATTTCTTCCTCCTCTAAGCCACATATGTGCAGTAAATCTGTCCGTCTCAGTGACAGATTCAGGTTTTACGGATAAGACCTCCTTAAACACAAGAGGCAGCAAAGCTCTGAATGGGCTGTGTTCTTCAAGGTCAATGCGATGCAGGAATGCGAAGCTAAAAATAGACTCGGCTCATTGACGTGGAAGCATGAGAGGCCTAAAAATAACCTCCTCAGGTAAAGTCAATTCCCAATCAAACTAGCACAAAAATTGACATGAACCATACACTCACCTAAAGGATTATTAGGAACACCATACACCATACTATACATAAGGTGCTGAAAGCATTCTTTAGAAATGTTGGCCGATATTGATAGGATAGCATCTTGCAATTGATGGAGATTTGTGGGATGCACATCCAGGGCACTAAGCATCCATTCAACCACATCCCAAAGATGATCTATTGGGTTGAGATCTGGTGACTGTGGGGGCCATTTTAGTACAGTGAACTCATTGTCATATTCAAGAAACCAATTTGAAATGATTCGAGCTTTGTGACATGGTGCATTATCCTGCTGGAAGTAGCCATCAGAGGATGGGTACATGGTGGCCATAAAGGGATGGACATGGTCAGACGCAATGATCAGGTAGGCCATGGCATTTAAAAGATGCCCAATTGGCACTAAGGGGCCTAAAGTGTGCCAAGAAAACACCCCCCACACCATTACACCACCACCACCAGCCTGCACAGTGGTAACAAGGCATGATGGATCCATGTCCTCATTCTGTTTACGCCAAATTCTGACTCTACCATCTGAATGTCTCAACAGAAATCGAGACTCATCAGACCAGGCAACATTTTTCCAGTCTTCAACTGTCCATTTTTGGTGAGCTATTGCAAATTGTAGCCTCTTTTTCCTATTTGTAATGGAGATGAGTGGTACCCGGTGGGGTCTTCTGCTGTTGTAGCCCATCCGCCTCAAAGTTGTGTGTGTTGTGGCTTCACAAATGCTTTGCTGCATACCTCGGTTGTAACGAGTGGTTATTTCAGTCAAAGTTGCTCTTCTATCAGCTTGAATCAGTCGGCCCATTCTCCTCTGACCTCTAGCATCAACAAGGCATTTTTCGCCCACAGGACTGCCACATAGTGGAATGTTTTTCCGTTTTCACACCATTCTTTGTAAACCCTAGAAATGGTTGTGCGTGAAAATCCCAGTAACTGAGCAGATTGTGAAATACTCAGACTGGCCCATCTGGCACCAACAACCATGCCACGCTCAAAATTGCTTAAATCACCTGTCTTTCCCATTCTGACATTCAATTTGGAGTTCAGGAGATTGTCTTGTCCTGGACCACACCCCTAATTACATTGAAGCAACAGCCATGTGATTGGTTGATTAGATAATTGCATTAATGAGAAATTGAACAGGTGTTCCTAATAATCCTTTAGGTGAGTGTATATGGTCATTTCATTAATCAATGGTCCTTGCCTCTGATGTGTTGTCTGTTTACTAACGATCCGTTGCTAATGAAGGTATTCTTCTACAGTGTGTTATTAAGTTAGTGTGAAGCAAGTCAATGGCCATTTTGTTTTACTATATTTAAGAGAGAAGGAAAGGCTTTGCATAAATAAATAACAATAAAACGATAAAGGAGACAAACATTTTGGAGATCTATTTATATTCCCTGTTATTCTAGTTCCAACACATAATACTAATACAGCAGTTTATGTTGATTAAGTTCAAATATGACCAAATGCACCATACAGTTCAGTTTTTTTAATATGTGCAATCTACATGTGAGCGAATTTACTATATCTGATAGTGATGGCGCTTTCAAAGTTAAGCAGCGTTTTCAAAGACCTCCAAATCGACCTTTCGCAGATGTTGCATGAGGACAAGACGGATGTCTCTTACGTAATATATAATCAACCTGGTACACCCTATTCATGTGCCCACATACAGGAGCGAGAAACATATAGACAGAGAGAGAGAGAGAGGGAGAGCAGCACTCTTCTGCATGGACCAAAAAACAAATACACATTAGCACATCTCTTTTAAGTCACTCTACTGTACGCTCTGGCATGAGGGGACACCGCATCCAGCTCTAAAAATACCTGTGCTTGGGGCAGAGGCTGTCGCTTCCACTTCGTTTCTGCTTCCGTCCCTCATCTTTACTGCTGTTCTCCTATGGGTCCCTGTGCACACTCAGAGCGAGGCACTTCTGTTCTGCAGTGATGCTATAAATAGCCCGTCCCTGTGCGAGGGATCCGAGCAGAAGCGCTATATTTAGAGCTGCAGGTAGCCTCAGATTTTTCCCCCCATTCATGAATATTTATAGAGATTTCTAGTGTGCTATTTTTGGCCCACACAACTATCCACCCACACAATTCCATGTTGCCATTTTAAGACATCCTCTGTCAGAGGGAATCAATGTGGGAATTTCATCATTCAGTGAAGTAGCCTGTTTTTAATGGTTTTTATATTGCAAGTGGAAACTGCATCAGTGCATTGTGCATATAGGCATATCAGCCTTGTTTTGGTAAAACACCACCAAAATTCAAATGTTTGATTTCTCTAATTATTATTATTGATGCAATATTATACCAGTGCATTGAACTTAAAATAAAATAAACATGTCCAAATACTGATAGAAAATCAGATTTTTGCCAAGTTCTCTGTTAGCGTTAAATAGCTACATTTAAAATTCAGTTATCTAAATTTAAGGGGATAAGATATATGATTAGTATCACATTTTTTTTAAATTCCAAAATTCAGATAATTGTGCAAAAATAAAAATCCAGTTCACTGGCAATTCACATCGTTTTGAGTTCTGTTGGCCACAATATGTGAATCTGTTGTGAGACAGTATGATATAGTTTTCTGAATAATCATTTTAATTTCTGAGCGAACCATCCCTTTAAACAGTGTTTAGTGCTCTGTTATGACAATTGCTCGCATCATCAGATGGTTAAAGATGAAGCAGCCTCCTTGTGACCAGTCTTTGTGCTTGCAGTGCTGTGGAAAATACACAATTTTCCTGGCTGTTTTTCTGGGAACAGGATGCCTCCTGTGGCTCAAGAAAGAATAAGCATGTATGAAGCTACCCTTTTCAGTCAAGACATGATGACAGTAGCAAGTACAGAGTACAAGTGTATGAGCCTTGAGGCACATAGTGACCATAACCCAACTCAACTTGATGATAATAATAAAAATAATAATAATAATAGTAAGTTGAGTTGTTTATAGTCACCATTTGTCTTAAGGAGCATATTTGCACTCTGTTCTTATGGTATATAATAATGATAATAATAATAACAATATTTATCATTATTGTTATTATCAATAAAGAAAAATTTAAGTAAAAATCTAGAGGTAAAAAAAATTGTATACAAGTATATTTCAGTCTGTAAACATAAACTGCTGTCACTATAAAATCCATTACAGCTGAATTTAATGTTTAAAGGGATAGTTCACTCAAAAAAATGTAATTCTGACATTAATTACTCACCCACGTCGTTCTAAACAGGAAAGACTTTCGTTCATCTTCGGAACACAAATGAAGATATTTTGGATGAAATCTGAGAGCTTTCTGTCCCTCCAATGACAGCTACATGTACACAACTATCCCTTTGACGCTTCAAAAACTTAACATAAAGATATCGTAAAACCAATCCTTACGAAAACTAGTATGAATAGTAGAAGTATAAATTCAATCTGTTCATCACATAAAGCGATCAAGTCTCTTCAGAAAATTTGGACAATATCAATACGTTTCACAATATCCTTATGAATTTTCGAAGCATCAAAATCTCAGTTGTGTAGCGGTCAATGGAGGGACAGAGAGCTCTCAGATTTCATCAAGAAGATCTTAATTTGTGTTCTGAAGATGAACGCAGTCTTATGGGTTTGTGAAAATAATGACAGAATTTGAATTTTTGGTTGAACTATCCCTTTAATAATTTCTGTAAAGGTTTCAGGGGGTTAAATTTAGCATCTGCTGTGTTCTAGAGCGTTACATAAACAAAGCATTAAACAATTTTACTTTCGACTTAAAAATACTTAATATGGAAACTTTCCAATTTTTACTGAAATATGTTTTTGGCTTGAGTACAAGTCTGACACAGTATCATATTACAACCCTGGCTTCAACTTCAGCTAATAATTGCCTTCAGGAACTGGTTGAAATTGATTCAAAGTGGATACCAACTCGCTACAAAGGCTTCGAGCAGAATCTGACAGACGTTTAAAGAGCACCTCCAGTCTGAGGAGTAAAAGAGCGGTTAATAAATCCTCTACAGTCGTTCGACAGGCTGCATGTTGACTGTCAGTATCTAAACACTTGACACCCAGCATGCGTCACGGGATAGTAGTGCTACGTCAGTCCTAATCGGGGCACATTACCAGCCCAGTCTGCATGTCCCACC